CGTGGTGGAAGGGTAAGGTTTGCAGAGTAGCTGAATTGATTGAACACAAGTAGATATTCTGAATGCATGGCTTGTTCACTTAAAAGATGTAAAGGACTGAAGTGAACTTCGTATCAAGCCATTTTTACTGTATTTCTAATAAGGTGTGCATACATGTTCATATGCATTTCCTGTACTCTTGTGAAACAGAAGTGTAATTAAAGTTACTGAAGGTAGAAATGTAGAAATAAAATCATTATTAACTGCTTTTCCTTATTCTAACAAGTATTTTTAGTTTCCTTTTTTCTTTAAAACAAAATGAAATGAAATTCAAGGACATGTGCCAAGACTTCTGATACTTCTGTAACATGTTACATAGTGAAGCGTAACATGGCAAGATTAAACTCTTTCTTTTCTGTAAGTAAAATTACATTACGCTGCATATATACTGCTAGGATCTTTCCAGCGCTCAAAAAATAAGAAAAAATGAACTCTAATTTTCAGTATTGTAGAATATAGTAAAATCTGGACTTTAAAGGGGAGAAGAGGGGGAAGTCATATGCACATTCTTTTCTTAAATGAACACTTCAAGCCTAACCTTCCAAATTTCCCTTAAGAAAGAACATTGCTTGAATCAAGCAAAACCCCCATGCAAAACCCCTACCAACCCTGTAGCGGTTGGTAGGTTTGTCTCTGTATCTAAGGCCAGCCCTGGCACTAAGGAATCACATTCAGACAACTGAATATGATTGTCACACAAGGGCAGCAAATTATTAGATATTATGGCTGTATTTTACTGCTACGGAGTAAGAAATGCTTGTGGGATTTTCTGTCTCAGTTGCCAGAATAATTTTACTGAGACTCTGTGCAGCATACCTTGACTCTGGGAGAGGGACACCATTTCCATCACAAGGAGTAGTGTCTTGGGCTGGCACGGCTACATCAGTCCTTTTGCATTACTCAAACTTCATGCTCCATGTTTAGGAAATCTGCGTGTCACCTGCACGCATTATTGCTTGTTTCCTCAGCTAAGAAACATGCATAGAAGGGAATATGAAACCGAAATAGTGGAGTCAGTCTACTGGAAGGAATGCTTCTTCCTATATATTCTCCTCCATGCATCAAGATCTCCCAAAGAGACTTTGTTAAGAGTGCCTTCACAAGTGAAGTAAAGCAAGATGCAGTCAGATGGACAGCCTAGCCAACGGAAGTGCGCCAGTCATATAACTATCTGAGCAAAGACATTCATTTGGTTTTCAGGAATCAACCCCTCCTTCTTTAACATCAAGAACCTGTATATTCTAATTTAAGATGAGTAGTCACTTTAAATTTGTGTTTCTGTTTTTGCAAACAGTATTGTTATGTTGCAATTTTTATGGATTTTAGCTACAATCAATGAGAGAATCAGGTGTACTAAAGCCCACTTGACTCGAACTGTCGTTGTCCTGCTTTCTGTTGGATCATGGCTTTTATTGGTTGTTTTGGTTTTAATTTTGTACTGTATGGTAAACTGCTCAAAAAGCTTTCAATTGGAGTTCCATAACAAGTTTTAAAACAGTGAGATTTTAGATGGTTCTGCCATATTTCTTACAAACAGCTTGCCTAAAAAAAGTTCTTTCCCATAGTTTATCACAGTCCAGTTCTCTATTCCAAACAATTACAGTACCACTTTGGTCCAGAGCACCTAGCATGCAAGTAGATGCATGGCTAGCAAAGGAACAGCAATTCATAAACCTGTCATCTATGAACTTGTCTACTGATTCATTTTTACCAACTTTTTATACTGACTTTAACAAATTTAAAATTATGACCTTTTAAAGAAAAAAAAGTGGGACCTCCAAAGTGCATTATAATGGCACTGGACAATAATATTTTTTAAATAATGTTCTGTTTTCACAAAATATGATCACGCAAAGTCTCAGTAAGGGAATCTTCAGCTGTCATATGTTTCTGATCAGTTAAGGAGAGTAAAACAAAAACAAGAACATAGCTCTAGACGAACAAACGTTAAACATTACAGCAAAAGTCCTTTTATAAAGAATTCCTTCAACCAAAGCCCTTTTTTTATCAATATTGTTATGTTCCTTTACATTTCAGGTGTAATAGTTCTAAAAATCTAACCATCTATGCTTGAAATTATCTAAGATAGCACTTATCACCACATAATGCATTACTGAATTCCAGAATTTAGCTATGTGATATACAATGATGTCTGTTCTAAGCCTACTGTCTATCAATTTAATTAGGGGCCTATTCAAGCTGCTCCTGTTTGTGAGCTCTCCCTAGAATGTACGCGTTTCAGATATTATTTTACCTCTCACTACCAGGAAAACATTAACAAACAAGCTAGCTATACTTCTTTTTTTAATACGATATAAAGAAAAAGTCAGCCACATTTAGTTCATCAAACATACAACTATTGTTGGAATATAACGGTCAAAACCAAGGATAGAGGATACAAACACACAAACCCCAAGCCTGATTAGAAATAGTTTGCAAAAACGCTACAGGATCGCTCAGTGTATTATAAACAAGCCAGTGTCAGAAATCTCAAAACTGTAAGTTGCATTACAAATTTTATAGAAACTCTCCCCCAGACAAAACTTGGTTTTCCTGCTCCCATTAGCTGAAAGAAAAGATCAAAAGAAATCAGCTGTGTGGGTTCAGTTTCCTGGGATCCAACATTCTCCCATTTCTAATTTCTAATTACCTTCTTTCTAGAAAATGGACAGACACTCAACACAGTAGCGGCTCAGCATGGTTCCTGTGTACATATGCATAAGGTTCATGTGAAACTCACAAGTGTGCCATCATGACAATGATGCACCTGCTTTCCTGGCAATACAGCATAATGGTCTGCTAGTATTTTCCTTGACACTGCTGGGTGGTTATTCCTTACAAAGCACTTGCTTAATTTTTTCTATTGCGCCAAACATGACCTGTTAATCAAATAGACTACTTTTTAAAATGAAAAAAGCAGGGGGAGAAAGAAAGGGTACACACACTGATGGGCAGGGAAAATCACAAGATCAGATGCGAAAACCACACAGCTGCAAGCATTCTTTTGGGAACCACACACTTGGGCTCATCTCAGTCACTTAATGTAATTCCCTAGGTCAGTCATGTAGAAGTAACATAATTTGCACATTTTTGCAGATTGAGGTTGAATCTGTATGAACTGATGAGTGAAAAAGCAGGAATCCTGCTACCATACAAGTCTTTCCCAATGACATACATTTTTGCTTCTGTATCTCCCAATACATATCTATTAAGATATCTGTGCTACCTTTTCTTCAAATGCATTCTCAACCAAACCAAAATTGTCCAGACATGCCATGCCCCGTAGTCATGCTGGGCATGTGGTATTTTTGAATAACTTCTACATAAAAATCCTGTGTAAATGGCTAGCCATTTTCCAGCAAACACCATTTTAAAACAAGACACTGTTTTGAAGGAATCAATGCTTCAGGTATACTGAAGATGTAATATTTCATGTAAGGGATAGTGGGGGGTTGCAAGAAGAATTATTCACAAATGACACATTTTATGATTATAAAGTAGAAACAAAAAGGTTATTGGAACTAAATGCAAATAAAAATCCTCATCAAATCATTCTCAGCACTGCTAGCCTTGCACAGTGTTCTATGTGCTGGACATTTTCCTCCAAGGACTCAGCTGGCAAATCACCCAAAGCTGATAGCAGACACTCTTGACCACAACTTTAATCTCAGCTAACATCCGGGTCAAGTAGCACCCCACAAACTGCACACACACCTCTTTCAGAGAGAGTGTGACCCCATCTAGAACTGGCTAACACATCTCTAATCCTTTGACAAGCACTTCCTTTTGACAGATATCAAAAGGAAGATTCCTTTTTTTAAACTTAATTTGAAGTTCTTGCTTTTTTTCGTCAGGAAAATATACCCAGGTTAAATGCTCAACTTTTTTTTCCATATGGGACACACAGTGCACAGCCTGATCTATTTTGTGAATGATAAAGCTGGCTCTCAATATTCCATTGTTTTTCAAATTACTTTTATGACATTTTTCCAGTGCTTGTGGTTTTAATGTAGCACAAAGTCTTGTGTGCTCTAATCCAGCAGCATTAAAGCTATATTTATCCTCCTTCTCTTCCCTGCACTTTCCTCACACTAATTTTCATGGGATTATCAGGCAGGAGAAAACAGCAACTTCAAAAGCAGCCCACCATGATTACTTTCTCACCATGATGATTCCTTTCCCTGCAGCTATTTTAGACTGCACACTTACAAGTTGTGGAGCTGTGAATAACTGTGCATTTTATTTTTCAGTCTCAATTCCTGCATAGCATCACAGGTGTATATGCAGTCTATTCCTACAATAGCAAAAGCAAACTGAAGAGGCCATATGCCTTCCAATTTTTCCTGCCACTGCAACTATACTGTGCTCTTTGGCAAGTGCAATGGTAATCCAAAAACTGGATATGAGGCTGCCCTTGAGTCAGCTCTGGCAGCGGAAGTTCATGCAGTATGCAGAGGCTTGGCTGTTGCTGGGAGCTACCCTTTTTCAGCACTGGCTGCCTATGCAGTACTGGGTCAGGTGAATGGTTTTAGTACTACTACACAAAGCCTTGAACAACTTGGGACCAGGATACCTGAAAGTGTGTGTTCTCCTTTAGCCGCCTGCCCAATAACTTGAAGTTACGGAGAACATTCTCCTGGTAGTTCCATACAGTCCCATGGCCCAAATGGGGTCAACCAGGAGAAGAACCTTCAGTGTGGCAGCTCCACATATTGTAACATCACAATTTGCTGATAAATGGAACAGTATACAAATACTGTAAATAAATCAATACTCATAATAATGCTGTGTGTTTCTCCTGTAAGCCATCTTAAGCATAATTTTACCATGGAAAAGCAGCATACAAACGAACTGATGAGGACAATGGGGTCTCTGGACCCCTGGACATCATACCCTTGACATACTTAAACAGGGCTCCAATATCAACTTCAGACATACACAATTTTTTTGAAGTTACTTACTTGAGTCATTCCTATTAACATGTCTCTGGAGGAAGTCAACTACCTGCGCCAAAGCCTTCTTGTTACAGTGCGTTGACAGTTCTTCATTACATTCATAACACCTACAATAAGAATTCAAATACTGTAACAACTAATCTCATGCCAGTAAATAAATTTTTATAACTCTGTATCCTGCCTGAAAGTACTGCAGTTCCTCCACTCAGGACACTGCACAGGAATTGCTGTTATGAACCACATATTATAAGTGCTATAAACAAGAGATGTAATCGTAAGGGTTACTTAATCTTAAAACATTCAAATAGTTTTGCTTGCTCTTTTTAAAAGTTAAAAAATTGATAAACCTTAAAACATTTTTACACTAGATGTATTGGTCATACTATTAGTCAGTTCAGGCATAATGTCAAACTGTAGCTAACAGTTGGCATCTCAGGGGCAAATCAGACATAGCATGAAAGCTTCAGAATCAGAATCTCCATTCTTCCTTTAGGTTAAAACCCTCAATGGGAAGGGACAATTTGTATCAGGCTGATAGCTCTGGAGAAGTGTTTTGGTTTACCCCTTCTCCTTGTGCTGTTTGTCCAGATTAAATCCTCCCCACATCAATAAGACTAGTTTAATATCCTCTAGCAGCTTGGGAAGAAGACGATTTTAGCCCGGCAGAAAAGACACAATAAGAAAGGGTTAAAGTGTGCCAGCCCCAGCTGCTGTTTATAAGAATAAGAAGAGAAAAAAAATATCTGAGCACAGATGTCCTATGTCATATCTAGTCTGGCCCTCAGTTACCTGGATAAAGTTGCACTGGTGCCACTCATTTATTTATTTGTTTGTTTTGCAGAACAGTCGCCCATTAGCATAATGCTCTCTGGGCAGCCATTATAATAAAATGTATGAACTGTGAACCACAGATGAACCATGATCTATGTAAGGATTTTCCTCTTAGAAGCAAACACTGCAAGTCACATTGCTCTGATGTTGCTTCATAAAGGTCATGCAGGGTTATGGAGAAAATGGAAGGAACTCCAGGCTTTCCCACTTCCAGCCCTACCACAACCATGCAATTGGCCTTGCAAAGACAGCTGTCTCATGGCAGGAATCAGGAGGCATCAGTGGTAAAGTTCAGTTCTCAGAGATCTAACATAAAGTAGAATGACCTTCTCAGATTGGTGTTAAAACTTCTATGCCTGATAGCATTGGAGACAATGCAGTACATTTAAGGCTCAGTCCTAGAGGACATGCTGCTGCTAAAAGGAACCCTTTAAACTCAGAGGCTTCCAGGTGTCCATGACCTGCTGGGCTAAGAGTGATTAAGGTGATTTGGCCTCTCCATCTTCCTTTTATTTCTTTTCTTCTAAAGGAGGCAAGAGAGTGGATTGTATGTATCCTAGTCTTTCCCCTCCCCTTCCATAGAACACTCTTTTTCATACCTCTACAGAGACCTCAGAGACTGGAGAAAGAATCAGATTTTGGAGTCTTCCTCCTAAAGCCCTGCCACTGTCTACAGCTTCAGAAGGGGTAATCTGGAAAACCTTATGGGCCCCGGGACTGTAGGATTGTTCTCTTAATAAAAATTAATCTTAGAATTTACATCATCAGATTTTATATTCCAACTAGTTATTACTTTGAGCTACTGGAAGTATCATGAACAATACTAGTAATTTCTTGCCTATATCTTTTGACAATTAGCAAACAATCTATAAATAGCTAGATATTCTTATCATTCATTCACTGCATTTACAGCCTATCTTTCTTCCTCCTGCAAGGAACACAAGGCAGCTTACAAGGTTTGCTTCCTCTACATTTTATCCTCAAAACAACAACCCTGTGAAGTAGCTTAGGCTGAGTGAGTGATTGGCCCAAAGTCACTCTGTGGGCTTCATGGCTGAGTGGAGACTAGAAATCAGATTTCCTAGGTCCCAGTCCAGTACTCTTAACCACTGTACCACACTGGCTCTCTAGATACAGTAGATAAATGTAATACCACAAATCCAGGATAAATTACTTTTATGATGCCATTATGTAACTTTAATTCATAGTTAAATGATCCAAAGAAATTCTGTAGAAAATATGGTTCATTACATGTTTAGTGGTACACAGTTATGTTTACGTGTAAGTGGATATCTTCACTGACAAACACACATAGTTCTCCTCCTCAAAATACAACCTCACTTACCATACAATCCATGTGCTGAGGTTGATTACAATGCAATGTGGTTCTGCCCGTGCAGTTTGGAAATGCTTTAAAGAATGCTGGCCTTCTGAGTTTTGACTGCAGCCCTATGGTGCATAAATAAAATATTAAAATCTAGTTATCAAAATGGTTATCTTCCCAAGTAAACTCACCAAATGTTCTACAATGGGCTCTTTTGTGTACTTATTTTTAAAGCACCTCTCAAGACCTTACTGCACAAGGTTTATCCACTTTTATTTCTGTTGCCTGAATGTCGAGATCCTGCTCACCCACGCCACACAGAAAGCTGACAAGGCCCTCTCCCACCCAGCCACGCCAGGCAACTAAGCTATTCTTCCACAATAAGGCTGTTCAGCAACATCCCAGGATTCCCTACCAGCTTCTCTTCAGCAGGTTTCCACAGTCTGTTCTACCACTATTTCCTCAGAGCAGCAAGGCCAGCAACACATGTGAAACAACAAGCTGCTAGAGCTTCCCAAGCAAGACCTAAAACATTATTGTTCGGATCCCACAAATGAACAAGCCTAAAACACTTCTTATCAGGGCATTAGTGTAGCTGCACAAAGTCAGTGAAATGACAGCCGTAGTTAAACAAGCCGTATAATTAATCAAATTAACAAGTTTATTTACCTGAGTACCACATTTGAGGCAAAGCCATACATCAGAAGGCATAACTGGCTCGCCATCACGTATTCGTCTTTCTTTTAAGCACTCCGAACATATTGACCAGACATTCTGAGCTACTGCCCTCTTGACATGATGCACATCCACTGCCTGGCTTACATGCTGACATGTCAGACCTACAGAAGAAAATTTAACAGGACTAAAATATATTTTATTATGGGAAAGAAATTCGATAAAATGCACACATTGTGAAACTTAGGAATAAGGAACAGAAACCCCAGAAACCGTAACTATGAGACTGACATGCAAAGTTTCCCAGAAACTTTAATATGCATGCACCCCATCCCCTTTAGCATACCAACAGAGGTACAATGGCTATGGCTCCAGTTATGGCAACTATGAACCAGCAGGGTTTCTGCATTTTCCCTCCAACCTTACAAATGAAAAAGAAAATTATCTCAAAACCTATTCTACCTTTTCTTTCTTCCTTCTCTCTCTCTCTCTCTCTCTCTCTTTCAGTGTGGGAACCACTTTGCTAAATTCTCTCATTCCATTTAAAAAAAAGATGCAGTTCCATACACCTATATAACAACCCTCGAAATAAGAGCACTAAAGGTAAGATCATTTCATAAATTGTCAGGCTATAAAAATCTAACTGCAAACATTGCTGCTTTTGGAATCTTCCAAACAAACTAGCAATGCTTTGCTAGTATGGGCATTAGTCCATTCATGTAATGCTAGATACAAGCGTTAGGCCTGGTTAACTAAATCCTTAGACATTTGGTTACTTCTCAAAATTCACCTAATGTTACAACAAATATTATCCCGTCTGTGGCAAGACAGTTGCAGGTTAGCACCACCATGAAGAAACTTTTTGGAGCTTGCATCAATAAAGTATACTAAAGTGAAGGTGTGAATGTACCAGGTGTGAATAAATCTGACCATAGCGTGGGTGTTTTTTACCTGCAATATCATCTGAAGAGTCTTCATCCTGATGCTGATTTGACTTTTTGTGTCTCTTGGTTTTGTCAGGGATAACTGTGGCTGGATCTTTCACCCGCATCTGTTATTTGCTACAAAATGAGCGAGCAGTGAGATAGACATTGGTAACACACAAAGGTACGGCAGCCATGAGCAATTCCTATGATTCTACACTGTGTTGACACACACATGATGTAAGCAGGCCAACCCTCAATTCAAATAAAGGGTCTGGAAAGTATCCCAGGCAATTCTTCTTACTGCTTTACTGACAGTGGCTCTCCAACATTTTAAGCTACACCTTTGCAGCATTAAGAGGGACATTCCTGTCAAAAATAATAGAAAGGGAACACAGCAGACTCCAACTAAGCAACCTTTTGTTGGAAAATAAATCCCTGATGGCAGAGTATTTCACAAATAACTAACAAGTAGGTATTTCTTACAGTTTGGCGTTAGCCTCTATTATTTACCTACTATTTATGTCTTACATTTTATTCCATCCTTCTTCCAAGGAGCTCAGGATGCTACAAATTATTTCCTCCGTGCATTTTATTCAAACAACAGGCCAAAGAAGTAGATAATGAAATTGATAGTGACTAGCCCTAAGTTTTTCAGTGGGCAAAGTAGGAACTGAATTCAATACCCCAGCTCCACATTGAAAGCTCTCTCCACCATTGGTCCTTGTCACTAAAACAAATATCAGAAAAATAAACACTTTAAATCTGTTTTCCAGAACTGTGACTATCTAGTATTTATTTTCATGGACATTGAAGAACAAAGCTATACTGCAGGTTCCAAACAATATGAGCTGCTTCCTTCCATTTCTAAGAAAATGCTTGTTTCATTTTCATGCAGATGTGTTTCATAACTACCTGTGGCATTCTGGCTGTCCAGCACTAGATCAACTGTCATCCAATTACTGGCAAAGACCACATTCATCATGACTAGCACTGGACAATGTCATCAGTCAGCAGATTAGATGCTTCAGCATGGTGACAGCTCTGAAAGCCTTTCAAGCATTCAAGCATTTAATGCATCCTAGAGCAGTAAAAGAACCAGAACTACAGACTGGTAGTGGCAGCAACACTTCTTTCATTTCCAGCTCGTCCTCTGAAATTCTCAGCATGTCATAACCATGATATTCTGCATTTCAGGCATGTCCCACGTACAATTGGCATATCACGTGAAACAGTGGGAATCATTCTGTGAGATCCTGCAGAAATCTACCCAGGGCACAACAGCAAGGCTGAACCAGACTCAGTTGTAGCACCTAGGGTAGCTACTAGCTCCTCATGGCAGGAAGATGTGTAGATGGACTTCCTGTCCTAGATAAGCATTGCCTGAGAAACAGAGTTTGAGCTTTGGTTTATGCAAGATTTGACAACCTAGGTTCAGGCTAGTTATCAGGAAAGTTTCCTCACCTTCAGAGCAATATGACATGGAACCAGTTCCCTAGAGAGGTCATGGGATCACTAGAGACATTCAAAAAGAAACTGGACAGTCTTGTAATTGGGATGGTGTAAACTGGTGACCTGCGACAGCAGGGAACTGGACTCATTGGCCTTCTTGCCCCATTCAAATTCTACTATTCTACGATATTTGCTAGTTTTTTTAAAATTTTTGGTGGGATGGAGACATGAAAGAAAACAGGGATTGACTACATACTCAGCTCAGAATTCACGTATCTTTTGACTTATTTCTTATGATATATACTGAACCTATCCTATAATCACATCACCACATGGAATTCTGGACCAATTCTTAAACCTGTTTTCTCAGGAAAACCACCACGTTTCTCAAGAAACAAACATCATGTGGAAGGTGCATTAAGGATGTGAAGATCCAGTTGGAATCCAGCTCCCTTGTGTTTGTTAGACTTCTTTCCTTGACTCAGCCCCTACTACTCAGGCAGTGAGTCAAAACCAAGCCCATGAATGCTTGTGAATGCTAGCAGACCCCTTCTTTGCCCTGAACTACGCTCGTTCAAAGTACACAAGGTATGCAAAGTCCATAAGGCGTGTGTACAGAAGCAGAACTCTGCTTGTAACAGCAGGTGTGCATGCAGTGTGTGTCTAAGCTGGCTTTGCAGACTTACTTGGACTCACTTCCTGCTGGACAACCACGTGAAAGCTGGACACACACTTAAACATCCAGGAAACCAAGCTGAGGAAAACCAACAGAAGCCCACCTACAAGCCAGATTCCTTGCACGTTGTTAATGCACACCATTAAAGAGCTAAGAGCTGAAGGTTACTCTGCTGTAAGTTGCTAATACTGTTTACATGTTTCACTTCTGTTCAGTCTGTTTCATCATAGAAATATTCAGCAACCTTCCACAGAATTAAAGTTATTATGAAAGAAAGCAAACATTTCCCTGCTTGGTTTTAATAGCCAAATTACATGCTGCTTCTATGGTCAGAATAACCCACACGACTTGGAGATAACAAGTTTGGATGTGTGGCTCTGGTATAGCCAAAGGCGGAAAACATATACTGGCTGACAAGGCAATAGGATGTCAGACTGATGGAATGATTAGCACTGTTTCCCAGGAATCTAGTGGCTAACTGCCAAGAGTGCCATATTATTTCACTTTTTCTCTACATAGCAGGCTGCCCCAGTTTGTTCCTCATGACACATGTCAATCTCAAACCAAGGACAAGTTGCTCTGCTTTGGACACTACCAGCAAAACGCAAAAGACAGATGGTGTGCTGCTGCACAACTTAAGGGAAAGCAAATCTACAGAATACCAGTTTTGCAATATTTCCTGAAGAAATCTGACAAAATCTTTACTAGTCAAGCACATTATAGAGAAAACTATACTGAACAACTGATATTCTACTTGTGAACTGCAATACATTCTCCATTTTTAAAACAGAAAGGAATAACTTCGCACAAAATTAACTATTGTTGAAGATTCACTGTATTTTATAAGAAATGGGTGGCTTGTATTAACACTTAATTTTAGGAATGAATCAAAGGTACAACTTGGAAGAAAAAAACAGTATCTTATGAATATCCTGGACCAAATTTGAAATATCTGACTGAATGAAATAATGCTATTAGGATAACTAAATACAAGATAAATGGTCAGAGACAGTATAATCCTATGTACAAGATGCTCAAAATAAATAGGAGCAGTTTATGAGTATATAAGCATCCATGGACATACAGCTGCTAGAAAATGAAGGCTAAACTCAGTGGGCCTTGGTCTGATTCTGCAAGACTGATTTTTTGAACATAAAGTCATTAAATTTTCTGAGCAAAGGAAGTGCAAGAGCAAGCCAAACAAATGCACCATTTAAACTACAAATTGAATCCAACTGCAACTATTTTACTACAAACTGCAACTATTAAAATTCCAACTCAGACTCAGCTGAAATTTCATCATAATTTTAGAATTACGTGTTTGGGTTTTTGTGTAATTCCAGGCTTATGGTGTGCTTTGGTTATCATGTGTAATTGTTACATTATGTCTCTTATGGCCACAGTGCAATGCCATTTTTACCATTTATAACACCCACCTTATACAGTCCTACAGATCTTTTTGATTTTTCTCTGTGACTAATATCATTATTTTCAATAATGTAAGATTCCTATGCATTAAATTCCAAAATCTGGTTGCTAATTACATTTTTCTGTAGCTCTTTTCTGTTTAACAGATAAAATCTTAAGACAAAAACTCATAGCGTAAAAACAAATTCCACTGAAATAAAAGGGAAACTGTATCCAATACTAGCATGAGAAGAATGAATATTCCTACAAGGGAATTCCTAGTCACCTCTCCTCTGCACTACAGTTCTGTGTACCTCAAAAAAAAAAAATGCTTCTCCTGAGAATTGTGAAATAGTATTATAATACAGCAATAGTGTGTGTATAATTATTGGGTTGGATTCAGACTAAGAGCTAAATCCAATGACACATAGGCAGACTTTCCATTAATGCAATGGAATTTACTCTCCTCTACCACCTATCTGCTCCTGAGGATCCCTCAGTCCTCTAGGGCATGGGTGACTGGCTTTATGGGAACGAGAAATTTGATCTGTCAACCAAGTCCATTTTGCTGACTTAGGAACACCAATGGATAGTTCCCACTGAAAGCCATGGGGTGTAAGTTAGCCATAACAAACCTGAAATGAATTTCAGTGGGTCCTGCAATTAACTTTGTCAGTATACATCCCACTATATATACACCATCTTCCATTTAATGTATTAAATTATTGATATTAATATTAATTATTGCATTGCTATACTGCCCATAGCTGAAGCTCTCTGGACAGTTCACAACTGTCACCCATCCAGATTTCAACCAGGTCCAACCCTGCTTAGCTTCCAGGATCAGGCACTGCAGGTTATACAGCAGCTATATTACAAAATATGTGTATTGCATCTCCCCGAAAGTTGCAACAAAATTATCTCAAACAATGCAACAAAAACATATATGTTTAAAAGAAAAGAACATTTACACTTTACAGTTTCTGATGTATAGTTTGTTTTGCCAAGTTGCATGTTCATGTTACAACATTATAAACCTGCCATTCTTTCTCTTTATCTTTTTAACCTTAACCATTATTGCGGACTTTTAGCTGACAATTTCTTACAAAACAAAATTACATCCAATACAGGAGATGTTGGGTTTCCAAGTGCTAATGAAAATCTGGGATTCCAGTGGAATTTAAGTGTTTACAAGATTCAGGTTCCACATAGTACCCATGAAAATAAATTAAAGTCATGCAGCAGGGACTGTTGGAATGCACTCTAGAATTTGACACTGACATCATCCTTTCAGTGAAGTACATGTTTAACCAGAGGAACCAGTCACCTGTCCATTCTACAGGTTCACATGTTTAAAAACAAACCCTGTGCTGATGGAGTAAGTGGGATTTCAAAATGCTTTCCAAGAATTTATTTTGATTCCTAGGGAAAGGGATAGCTGCATGCCATCTATAAATATACTTTATGGTATACTCTTTGCCCTCCAACACAAAACTATGTGGTCAAAGGGCAAGGCACACATCACGCAAGGATCTATTGATATAATTTGAAATGACAGGGCAGGAAGTTTCACTTATTAAGGTTGTATAACAACATTTCTGATTATGTTTGTCTCCAAAGGAATGCTAAAAATATGTCTGCCTTAGACAAGCAAGGTAAAACCCAAATGAAATATTGAACACCCAACAAAAATTGCAAGCAATAAAATTCTAATCTGCTTGAGATATCATTGAACCAATTCCAATTTTACATATATTAAAAATAGTTATTTCTATCTCACAGAGCACTTACAAGTTATAGAATAGGCAGCTGTAATTAATCCAATCTTTTGCCCTATCTCACCTTTTCTGACAATATCTTTGAACAAAGAACATGGCCAGACTGAAAAAAAAAATCTAATTCAGTCTGATTCACAGACTCATGAACAGGTCTTTCTATCTGTTGATTGATCAGTTTGAATATCACTTCCTGGAAAGTGCCCAGCCCCACAGAAATCCTGTGGGTGTTTAAGATTTTCCTCTATTTCCAGTGGGTTGGCAAAGAGTGAAAATAAAACCAGGCCAGGACTGAAGCCCAAAGTGAGTCTTCCATCCACTGCATTACAGCTTTAGTATCCACAATGAGAAAATAATCCAGTGCCTAGTTTCTCAATTTTTCCATATGTACACTCAAAATAATTTAAGATGAATTAATCGAAGTTCACTAGCCTAGTCACTGCTTCTCAGCCTAGCCTGCTCACAGGGTTGTTGTTGTGAGGTTAAATGGAGAGGAAAAGAAACTTGTAAGCTACCTTGGATTCCTTGCAGGAAAAAAGGTGTGATACACGTTAGTAAAAAATATTGCCTATAGTTAGGAATAATTACACTCAACTACTTGCATTTATTTTTCAACATGAAAAGGATTTCTCAGTCTAAGTATAAGAACTGTGCATATCTTCCCACAGTGTTAGCATAGCAACCTGTCAAGCCCTAAATGATCCTTCAAAGTCAAAGAAAGTGGTTGTTATTGTTATCTGGCCAGGTTATTTGTTATTGCTAAATTAAATTAGAGGCAAATTGCTCTCAAACAAGCAAGAATCTAGATGCATTTGCAAAAACTGGCCTTAGCTACATGATTATTAAGATTATTACAGCGTTTTTTAAAGGTAACCTACAACTAATTTTCCTTCAAAAACCCTGAAAATTCAAGTTGCTTGTGAAACCAAGGTAGATAATATCCTTTATAAATGTTGAGTCTTAAAAGTGCACAATTCAAAATTCAATTCAAACTATTCAAGTTTGCTTTTACACATCTCCCCTCCAGCCTTGTATCTCTGATTCTATCAGGTAACAGAACTTTTCATTGGAAAGTTTACAGCATGCATAATCCTGTATTAATAGAAAATTGTCCAATCAGACAGCTCTGCTTACCTATTTTTGGTTCTCTTTCTAGGACCAATATTGAAACAACTGTCTAGAAACAAAACCGTTCTTACTACTGCAAAACACAACTCCAACTGATTATAGACATGTCCAGAATATGTTTTCCTCCACTGTGGACTCAGTAATTTTTGCATAGGGTACTATGTTCACAGGGGCCAGCAAAAAGAAAACGTTGGCCACATGATCCAAACGTGCTTACTTAGAGGTCAAATCCAAACTGTTCCATGAGGAATGCCTACAAGAATATAGTGGTTTAGTAGGAGTGGTCAGGCTCTCCAGGCGCTTTTAACTTCCATGCCCAGCAGTCCCTGTTGGAATGGCCAATGCCGAGACTGAACCCCCAAACGTTTCGATATCTACTTTCTGGCAGGACACCTCCGTTATTCAGTGAAACGGACTTCCTTCTTTCCTACAGACCCAGGATCGGGGTCGCTGAAGGACAAGGAAGCAAGCCCGCCCGGTATTGCCAACATCCCAGGCCCAAGTCAAAGGGAGGGTTGTGCAGGGACTCCAGAAGGTGGCACAAATCCCAAGCGTGTTCTCAGACAGAGCAGGGCACAGAACAACTGCTTGCCTAAGCCACCCCTTAAAAAGACCGGTCTTCAGAGCAGCTCAGCTTCCAAGCCTCCTCTAGCGCCCGGGCCTTGGGAGAGATGCTCTGGGCTGCGCCCTCGACACGCGGAAACCTCCGCAAGAAGCTGCGCTCCCCCTGCGGCCACTGAGCCGCCTGGACAGGGCCCACAAGCCACCCAGCCCCCATTGCCCTGGCCAGGTCCCGTCCTCCCGCCGGCTGCCGGTGCAGTGCGGGCCGGGGAGGCAGCGTCCCGCGCAAAACCGGCGGGCCCTCCCCGCGCACCTTGCCGCTTGGGCGCAGCCCCGCGTCCCCTCCGACTGTACTGCTTCCTCACTCACCGCGCTGGGCGACTGCTTCGCCCGGGAGAGGCAGCAAGCTGGAGCGGCGGCGGAAAGAGGAGGAGGAACAGGAAGCGGCAAAGGAAGCCGAGCTTCTGCTAGGCCGCTTCCCTGGCCGCCCTCGGCTGTCCCGGCCCGCCCCCGCCTCGTAGCGAGAGAGGGCCCGCCGTGGCGCGATCTCCGTGTAGACGCTAACAGCAGCCGCTGCACAAGCAACAGGCAACAAGGCGTTTGCATCCATGTAAGCCCCGGTACAATCCACTGAGGCCCCGAGTGTGAGAGGCCGCCGTCTCGCTCATCCGAAACACGGGCAGAGTTCACCTTTCAAGCTCTGAGGACGGGTTGCCTGCACACGTGCACGCTTTCAAGCCTCACGTCCTCACCTCCAGGGGGGCGAAGTAACCCGTTCCTTGCTCGGCAGTTCTTCCTGTCCACGGTGCCTTTGGCAAAAGAGCGGATTGCTCTTGCCAGAGACTGGAACTCGAACACTTGCACAAGACCTCTGAAATGAGACCAAGGGCCACACGCAGGCCTGCGGCTGCAAGTGCCCAACCCGTAATTCTAGCCCAGTACTATCCGGTAACTCTTGGACAGCCTTCGTCCAGATCACCTGCTCCCAATTTTTTGAATTGGCAAACTACAGTCAACTCTTTCGATATTAACAGTTATTGTTTGCTTGTTTATTGGCTTTATTTCCTGGGGTGTTCTTGAGCCATCTTTGCTGTGTGAGGGTTTCAGTGGCATGGAGTGCCTTTTACCAGCTTGGCTGGTGGCCCAGCTCTGCCCCATCTGGACACGGATAGCCTGCTGTCAGTGATCTATGCTCTGACAATCTCTAAATCAGGTTACTGCAATGCACTCTCTGAGGGGCTGCCCTTGAAAAAGGTTCAGAAGCTGCACCTTGTGTAGAATGTGGCAGACAGATTAATTACTAGGACTTGCCGACCGTTTCTCACCCACCTGTATTGGCTGCATGTATGCTTCTGGGTTCAATTCAAAATGCTAGTTTTAACCTAAAAGTCTTGCACTGTTTAGGGTATTGAAACGCATCTCCCAGCTGGAAACTACCTGGGCACTATGCTGAACCTCTGGGGCCAACTCCACTGGAAGTTCAGAGAGTGGTAACAGGGGAGGCCGTCCTCTGTGTAGCTCCCATCTTTGAATCAACCTCCCTATTGGAGCCTGATGCTAAATGTGCTATCTTTTCAGTGCTGGGTCAAGACAGGATTTTATCCAGAAGTCTGCAAAGGTATGCTTAGTTTACTGCAGTTTTCTTGTATGTTTCAGATTAATTTTAAAATCATTTTAACATCATTTTGGTTTTTATGGTATTTGTATCATGTTGTATTGTTTTGTTTCACACATTGTTGTAAACCACCCAGAGAGCTTTGGCTATGGGGTGGTATAGAAATGAAATAAATACTGCAAATCATCATCATCATCTATGCTCTGGCAATCTCTAAACTAGATTACTGCAATGCGCTCTGCATGGCACTATCTTTGAAGACTGTTCAGGAGCTGCAGCTTGTGCAAAATGTGGCTGCTGAATTTATAACAGGGATCAGACAGTTTGAAAGTGAGCACTAATTCCAGCCCTGTGGTATTGGCTGCCCATATTCTTTCAAGCCTAATTCAAGGTGCTGGTTTTCACCTACAAAGGACCACAAAGCTAGAATCCCTTTCCCAGTTACAATGGCACTGTGATTAAGATCTGGTACCACCTCTGTTTGCCACCTACAAGAGAAGCTTGGTTGGTGACAAGAAAAAGAGCTTTTTCAGTGGTAGCCTGCCAGTGGCAGAACAAACTCCCCACTGAAACCTGCCTGGCAGCAAATTGCCTAGCTGAGCCAGCCTCTCACAACCTATTAGTTGATGTGGACTTCAGCTCCCATGTGCCCCAGTCAACATGGCCAATGGTCAGGAATGCTCAGAGCTGTAGCTCAGACAGTTGGTAGGCACCATGTTGAGGAAAGCTGAGTTAGGCAGTTTTCATTATGAAATAAAGTTAAAGTTTTGTATAAAGTTTTGGGCCCCAGGTATCTAAACGTATCTACTTGTTTTCATACAAATCTAGCCACTCATCAAGATAATCAACAGATTCACTTTGCATTTTGAATCCAGAGATTTGGCTTTCCTCTGTCTTTTCTTTTTCTTTTTCTTTTTGTAGGGCAAATCAACTTCATAATACTGTATTCAGGATGAGTTGTTTGTTCTTTTGGTGCTAATAGGTTTTTTCCATTACACTTTTATCATTTTAGGTTTGATAACTTTATCTAGCTGTTGACACTGTTTTATCTTAAGCTACCTTAAATATTTTCAGTTGAAAGGCAACATACAATCTTTTAAAAAATAAACTAGAGCCCTTGCTTAGCATGGCTAATTTGTGGGATTTATTTCTGAATAAACAATTTGCTTAAACCAGGGAAAATATTTTCAGTGTCATTTGCAGGCTTAGAACATGTTCTACTAGTACTAACTGTACTTCTGAACAAATATGGAGTACCTTTGGTTATAGCACTAAGAAAGTCCAATGATATATATACTGTATGCCACTTTCTCCAGAAGTGTCATAATTACTCAAGAATAAGCTCCACTGGAAGCAAGAAGATGTACTTCTGATTAGACATGTAGGATTCGTATATCAGGCCTCTTTTGTTTCACTGTTGTTCCACATGAAATGCAAAAGAATTAGAGTGTACCCATTGCTCGCAGGTGGCTACACAGGATATGCAAACATAAAATTCCTGTCAGATCAGATGCTATAGCTCTGTCAAGTCATTGGCAATCTAAGTTTTTGTCTGATACAATCCTGGGTCACTAACTCAACCCTCTTCCTTCTTGCCCTCTTTTGCAGTTGGGCACATGAACAGGCAGAGTAATGAATTAGGCCCACCCTGATGTATACTCACATTCAGTTAGTGTTATGAGACTGAATCAAGAAGAATATTACCATCTATATGTGCTTGAGAAGAGCTCTGCTGCATCAGATCAAGGACTTATCTAACCCAGCATTCCGGCTGTCCAGACCACCTAATCGAATACCTATGTGAAGCCCACAGGACATGAGGGCAGTAATCCTCTCCCACTGCCCTTCTCCAACAGCCAGTCTCTCAGGGCATGTTTCTTGCACTCCCAGACATAGTACATAGTCATTATATAGTATATAGCATATAGTAGCTGTTGTTAGTCTTATCTTCTACATATCTGTCTAATCCCCCTGTAAAACTATTTCTAAACTAATTTTACATTGAGGGTGTGTTACATCACTAAAATTTTCTTTTTAATGAAGCTGTCATTCAAAAGCTGTTTGAAACTATGTGTAGAAAAAGGATGCCATATGGACAGGCAGGCAGCCAGCAACTAGTGAGCCAGTTTGTATGCCAGCTTAAATTTGTCACAATTTCCCATTTAGAAGGATGTTTTAACCTTGTTTTAATTTAAGCTAAGAAGAATACCTTAATGCATTCTTCAGAATGCACCTTTATGAGGGCAAAGTAGTGTGTTTGATAAAACATTTTCAAGCACTGAGTTTATATAGAAATATAATAAATAGGTACATAAATGAAAAAAAACCATTTCTCTCCAAATTACAGAGTCACCAACATCCTGTGTGCAAAGGATGTACTATGTAGTGATGCGAAGGAATGAATGCATGATGTTCCTCTTGTATCACTGATGTGAATGGTAAGGTTTGCACACATGGGATTATGTATGTGCATAGGAGTTATCGTGTTTGCAAGAAGACCTAGAGGGATTGGGCTAATTGTCTAAGAAATATGCTTGACTGATTTCCGTGGATCATTATGGAGCCAATGCACAGCAACTTTGGTTAGGAAGCCTCAAGCATATTAACAAAGCTTGGATCTGTCTTCAGGACATAGTTTCTGATTATTTATTTCATAATGTTTATGAATTGCTTATGTTAAAGAAAGGTGTAATCTGTGTGCATTAGATGAACTTACATTATTGGGAATGCATGTTCAAAAAAGATAGGTAGGTGCTGAACCTGATAAGAGTTGGTGCATGCCTAATTTGCAATGATAAGGAATGCTGGAGAGTGAGTGCTAGGACAATAAAGGCCCTATTCTTAGTTGTAATGGACCAAACCTCTGAAATCTCTGGTACCACTACTAGAGGGTCTTCGGATGAGTACAGCAGCTGAAGAGGTTAGTGGGAAGATGGGTGATCATTTGAAACATTCTCTCTGTGTGTGTATCCCATCCTTCTAGTGCCCATGCACCACTCAGGACAGCTCGTAAAGATCCCATATTAAACATATTCAGTAAAACCCACAATAAAAATAGAGGCAGAGGCCATAAATCCATCAAATTTGTTAAAAAATGCCTGGCAGAATAGCAATGCCTTCACCAATGGATGAAAGACATCTGAAGAATATGCCTCAGTTTAGTGTTGTAGTGAGGTAGTTTCTTGTGGTAATTTATTGTTGGAATTATTCTGAAGCAAGGACACTAGCAGTTCCGGCACAAAGCTCTTAATTCTCAATGTTTCTTTTAACCTCTAAATACGTTACCTTCTGTTTCTTCAGCTAGAGCTCAGATAACACTTTATGAAGTGCCATACTGTAACTAGTTATCATATGACATGACTGGTTTGTACCAGTGATAGGTCTTGCATGTGGAAATGCAAAGCCACCATATGCCACTATGCTGGCTGTTAAAACCTTTCAAAATATTATGAAACATTTATTTAAAGTTAATTCAAATTCTTTCCATTATAGATACATATCAAGGTACTTTGAAAAATAGTAGCCAGGAATGCTTGGCAGCAAATCTGCTGGTAGGTAAGACTTCTGTGAATGAACAACCTTAGTTTTGATGCATCATATCTTTACTTCATATCAATACAATTTGGAACATTTCTGTACAAGAAATTTTGTCATATTGCTACTGGGTGAATCACCAGTCTGTAGCCTCAGCTGGTAGCACAAGGTTTGCCATGTGGAAGGCTCAAGTGATCTTTGCTCCCAAGCCTAGCCAAAGGGTAAATATAGAATCTTATACTTGTTAGTATATTTTAAAAAAAATATTAATACTTGAAATCCTTTAGCAACAAACTAAGATAAAGTGGTTTTAAAAATACAAATTACATTCAAATGCATTATTATTATTATTATTATTATTATTATTATTATTATTATAACATTTCTATGCCGCCCCTTGCCGAATCCTCGGGGCGGCTTACAACACAATAAAATACATTGAAATACAATAGAACATAATAAATTACCATTAAATACAAAAATACAAAAAATACACTGAGTTACAAATATAAAATTATCAGTATAAAATAAGTAAATAAAAATATAGGAGGAGAAAGAGAAGGAAGAAGAAGTTGCCCTGGCCTTTAATGATTTAAAGATAAGTTTATATCCTAGGAGTAGCGCAGATTACAGGAGTAGTACAACAGTTTACAGATATACTTAGTTTTTGGGTTTTAGCATCATCCAGCATTAAAATGCATGAAAACCTTGAGTCAGACATGTTAAAATGATAAAAGAAAACACCTCAGGTTTAGTATCTTTAGTTGGATCAACTAGTGTCTGGTCTGTCTCAGACTAATCTTTCAATTTATGGAGAACTCTTTCTTAAGCTTAAATACAGAGAACAAAAATCTCTTACTGGGAGAAAGAAGTAAGAATACATATACTGTATATTAGATTAGAATAGATTTGCTGGTATGACTCAAATACCAAATAATCTACCAAATAATAATTCAACAAATAATTCTAGGGGAATAGATTAAGCAATTTAAGTCTGCCGTCCTACATCCACTTACCCAGGAGTATACCTCATTGATATCAATATAATTATTATATTACATTATATTATAGTAATATCCTACATTTCTCCCATACATGGTGTCTTCAGACCATGCTCAGATTTACTTCTAAGTAGTTGTTTATAGAGTGCATAAGAGTTAAGCCATGCATCTTCAATACCCTTTAGGTCAGAGAACACAAAATACTAGCAGAGGCCTATCTAATGCTCACTTCCAGGGGTATTCCAAATACACATTATTTGCAGACTTTCCCCACAACGTTATGGAAGCATCATTCTAAGGCCACCCAAATCTATAAAAAGGGATAGTGGAGAATACCTGAATCACTGCATCTCTGAATTCCAAGCCACATGGTGGAGTTGGCTCCAGGTTTTCATTTCTGTTATAACTAGCTGACCTATATTGAACATTGCTTTGCTGCTGCGAATTGCTGGGAAAGTGAAAGACTGGTGAATGATTGCTGCTGATACCAGTGAGAAGGAAGAGATAAGGGTAATAGTACAGGCACATAGAAAATAATACAGTGATAAGGAAAATAGGGCTGCAGTGGATCTCTGAGTGGGGAAAGAAACAACATGTAACCATTAGGAGTGCAAAATATATGGCAATACAGAAGGAACTGAATGTATTATGGGCAGTCATAAAAAGGGATAACGGGTACAGAGAAATCTGAGTTGAAAAAGGTAACTAAGAGTTCAGGAAGTTTATTGCATTTGACTATATTTTAAAACTGGTTTAGGTACTGTTTGATTAAGCAGGAAATACAGAGCTAACAGATAGGTGGAGCAGAGAGACCAGTGGCAGTACAGAGAAAAAAAGAAAAGGCTTCTGAAAAATGGGGCAGCAGACATACCTGTGAATAGGTGAGAAAAAAGTAGATGTAATACAAAGGAAAGCACCATGGTTTTTCCATGTATAAGATGATATTTTTTTCCTTAAAATATTTATCTAAAAATGGAGGGGCGTCTTATACATGGGGGGCGGGGGGCGAGAGGGCCCACTCGGGAGGGGGGTGACTGGTGCAATCGCGGGTGCAGTGGGAGGGAGGCAGGCGCAGGCATGCTCGGAGGGGGGAGACTGGTGCGGGTGCGCACGCATGCATGCAGCAGCAGCTTGCTCTCTGAGATCCGTAAGAAAAGTGGGGGGGGGCGTCCTATACATGGGGGCGTCTTATAGATGGACAAATACAGTACATAGGGTTTTACGAGATGGGGGGAAAGGTTAACAGAGCTTCAGACTCAGATTTGCAATTGTACAAAAAGGAAAAGTGAACTCTAAGAAGCATTCAGCAAAAAAGCATGAGTTGAGATGAAAACAACACTGAGGGTGCATGTCTATTCATAAGTACTTCCTACTGAGTTCATTGAATGTAAGCCCAGGTACGTGAGTACAGATTATAGCCTAACTGAACAGTATAGTAAAAATTCGTTTGTATTTTTATGTTTGTGCATAATCAATCAAAGCAGCATTTTTCAGAGTAGTTTGAGTTGTGATCCCTGGACTAGTGTGGATTAGGAGATGCAAGAGGGCAAACCTTCCATAGACTTTATAGTTGTGAGCGGTAGGAAGAATTTTGGCACTGTGCAGTTTTTCTCTGTAATGATAAATTTAATCTCTTGGACTTTCCATTTTACTCCAGCTACTCTGTGACAAGTAGAGCAGCAAGGCTCAGTGCATTTCTATACATACGTTTTTCTTATGTGAAAAATTCATCAATGTCAGTAATAATGTATAATAATAGTAATAATCTATACACATAACATATCACAAGGAAAGTTGGATTAGAGTCATAGGAAGGAATGAAAATTGAAGGAAGAAACATCACAAATTTACGATATGTCAATGATACCATAGCAGAAAACAGCAATGACTTGAAATTACTCGATAAAAGTGAAAGAAGAAAGTGCAAGTGAATATGAGGAAAACAAAAATCATGTTCACAGAAGAATTATAGAAATTCACTATTAATAATGAAGAAATCAAAAGTGTGAAAGACTTTACATACGATCAATCATAAATGCAAAGGTAAACTGCAGTCAAGAAATCTGAGGAAGACTGAAACTAACAGACCAGAAAAGGTTAGCAAGTGTAAGGATGTTTTATTGGAGACCAAGGTCAAGATTATGCTAACTATTGTATTACCAATTACAATCTATGGGTCTGACAGTTGGAAGTGAATATCTGTTTGATTTGTATTCCACTTTTTTCTTACAACAAACTCAAAGTAGCTTATTTAAGATCTCTTCCTCCTGCTCTCAGTCTTATTCCCACAAGAACAACCCTGTGAGGTAGGCTGAGCTGAGTCTGTGAGTCTCACCTTGTTGGCTCCATGGCTGAGAAGGGACTAGGACCTGGATTACCTGGATCCTAGGCCTATGCTCTTACCCAATACATCACACTGGCTCTTTAAAGAAAGCTGACAAGAGGAAAAATGATGAGCTCAAAACAGAGCTGGAGGAGAGCTTTGCAAATATCCTGAGCAGAAAGACAAGTGGGTCCTAGATCCAGTCGTCAGAATTTTCCCTAGAGCAAAAATAACAAAACTGGGGAAGACAATCATGTTAGGGAAAGTATAATATGAAAGGGAAGACCAAATATGAGATGGATTGAATCCATAAAGTAAACCACAGCCTTGAGTTTGGAAGAGCTGAACAGAGCTGTCATGAACAGGACATTTTGGAGGGTTTTCATAGCGTTGGCATAGGTTCAAGCTGACTTGACAGCACATAACAATAATATGCAACACATGTTTTTGCAGAAATGTGTGACTATTACCAATAAGTTACATTTTCCTGGTGCTGTTTGGCAAAATATGTTTACTTAGGCTAATCACAAGTTCAGCTTTCTACATGAATACGGCACAATGTTTCCTTTAGGGAAATATGTTTCAAGTAAAAAATCCTTTGCTGCCAAGATAATATGACTGCTAGTCTACATTTAAACACTTCAGTATTGTTAATTTCTTTTTCAGAGGTCCAACAGTCTTCAGCCCTTTTTAGTTGCACTACTAACACTTCCACTACATTTCTATTTGACTACTTCAATGTGTTCCTGAGATCCAGTCCTGGGCCCACTTACTGTGCTATCCTAGGTACATCAACTGGGGAATAAGCCCCATGAATTCTGCCTTCTTGCATCTAATGTCCTTGCAGTGCCTTAAACCACAACTCGCGTCAGCATGGCTAGGAATGATGGAGGTTGCAATCCAAAACCGGGTGGGGAAAGCTGACGTACAGGATTGCCTCCTTAAAAAGCATTGTGGCGTAGTGGTTAAGAGCGTGGGACTGGGACTCAGACGATCTGGGTTCTAGTCCCCGCTCAGCCGTGGAGCCAACCGGGTGACTTTGGGCCAGTCACAGACTCTCAGCCCAACCTACCTCACAGGGTTGTTGTTGTGGGGATAAGAGGGAGGAGGAGATGTAAGCTGCCTTGAGCCCTTTGCAGGAAAAAGGCAGGATATAAATTGAAAAAATAAATAAATAAATAAATAACCCCCGCGGAATATGTAAACGTGTATAGGATTGGGCTGGGGAGCGACAACTCCACCCGGCACCGATGCAGCGGAGGAGACAGGCAAGTAACGCGGCCTCCAATTGGCCGGCCGGCCGAACAAGCGTGGGCGGAGCGCGCTGCTCCTCGGCAGATGCCTGAGCGCGCTGGTGGGAAGCATGTGGGCTTGTTTCAAGCAGCTGGGTCGGGCAGCCTTTGCTGCACTTCCACCGCGGACGGCAGTAAGGGCGAGCGGCGATGGGCGAGGGCTGAGCCTGCTGGCTTGGAGCCGGCGGCAGAGCTTCGGGCGGCGGCTGGAACGGGCGGCAGGCGATGGTCCGCTCTGCAGTTCTGGCTGTAAGTGCTCCGAGGTGGGTGGGGAAACAGGCAAGGTCCTTGTGCCTGTTTATGGCGAGTTTGCTTTCCTGCTCTCCCAGCCCTGTACACGATCTGCAGCATAGTGTGACATAATGAGAAATGATGTTGCAGTTAGTTATGTCCAGGGACGTCTTAACACGTGGGCCTGATGGGCACTTGCCCCTGGGCCCCATACTAATCTGTGTACGTTAACCCTTGGAAAATTGGAAAACTTCCAAAATTAACTGTAGTTGTAGTTGTCGTAGGGGCCCCAGTGCACTGTTTTGCCCGGGGCCCATAATGCTGTTAAGACAGCCCTGCTTGTCTTGTTCTTCAAGGAAGTTCACAGTGGCCTTTGCCCAAGGGTACGGATTAGATCCATGCCTGCTTGACTTCACCAAGTCTGCAAGACCCTTTACCCTATGCCCCCTAATAATAATAATAATTATTATTATTATTATTATTATTATAACATTTCTAATGCAGGTGCTTAATAGAACTATAAGCAGGGTATTTCTTAACATGTTCAGAATTGGGATCTGCTGTAGTCACTAGAGACCAGCGTACTAGACCTCCATTAAAACGCCAGTTTATGTCGAGGCTTGAGCAAAGTAGCTATGCTATCTTATTCCACTAATAGGCAGTTTTTCACGCCTATTAGTGGAATGAGAATGACTGTCATACTTGTATAAAGAAAGCTGCAAGTATGGCATGTTAAGAGGAAGTGGCACCTCCATACCGGATCTGCAAATATGTATTTCAGTTATTTCCAAACTTGGAGAGGGTGAGAAAATGCCAGTGTGTCACAACATCAGTGCTGTTGGTGGGATTTGTGACTCTTGGCAGGTTTACATTTTACCAAGTGTGAAGGAGTGTTAGAACTGAGTATAAACTCCAGATGCAAAGAAAGCTAGGGTGCCTGTATACTTTAACAGTATAAAAAAGCTGCACTTGTTGAAATTATCTGCATAACTGCTGTTTGTGGAGACACCCAAAGTACTTCCAGCCTTCGTGCATGAAAACGGATTCTGCAGCCATTCTCTTTTTCCTCCTCAACCATCCTTTATGTTTAATTATTTTTGTGGTTTAAAACAGGGATGAGAGAAGCTCTGGGAAAACATAGGACGATGTCTGGGGCCCTGTTCAGTGACAATGTACAATGAAAGCCTTGTGTGCAGCACCCCCAGTACTGCCCCCTCTGGTGACCTTACAAATGGGATACATGGACTTCAATAGCAGGGATTTCCTTCTCCCATGTGTGTGCAGTGAGTTGACACCAGGGGCAGAGGTCTCACTATTTGTTGCTGTCTGTGTGAACACAGTTTTAGATTGAGGTTGTGGTGAAAAGGTTAATACACTCAAGATGAATACTTGATCATGGATTGTTTATGTTATACATGGGATTTTTGCTTGCTGGTGAAGAATGAGGTCTGAAGAAGCATAAGAGCAAGCACTACTCCTGCAGTAGTGGGTTTATATGTAAACAAATGTCTTACATAGTTTGGTGAAATCAAGACACATATTTACATTCCTACGTTAAAATATTTGGAGCTGGGAATTAAATGTTTCCCACTGAGTTAAATCCAATTTTATGCATGTGAACTTCCACTTACGCAACAAAGTGTCTTCATGCTTTCCTCCCTGTGCTCTTCTTCACTCATGTACAAATCTGCTTCAGAGGGTTGAAGGATTCTTCAGAACAGATTTGGGGTATATGTGGGGGGGATTTGAGAGAAGGGAAATCCCTTTTGTTCATGATTTCCACTCTGCTGGTAGATAGCCTGCTTTGGATGCAATCTATAAAGGCATAAGGTGACTCTCAAATGTGTATGAAAGTGAATCCTTCCTGAATCTTGCCTCTCTGCTCTAATATCCTCTCAAAGTGGACAACACTTGAAGTGAAAGTTTAAATTAGTGGTATGGTTTAAGAGTGGGACATAAATAAATTGGGGTAATTCAGCCAAACTGATCTCTATGGGCCTGAAAAGTGGGGTAACCACTGACCCGTTCACTCATCCACAACTGGTGAATCAGTACAACTGCTTTCCTCCTCTGCAAATTATTGTAGGCACTTCTGTGTGGCAAAACTCAACATTCACATGAATGGATTACCAATTCATTTAGTTCCCTAAATAAAACAGCACATGCAATCTTAATACCCTTTTGCCTTTTTGTAAAGAGGGCTGAGAACCAAATGTGAGCAGGATGTGTGCGGAAGACACAGATGATCCAATCTGCCACCTGATGACATCTGCAAAGTGATCCCATAAATTCACCCCATGAGTACTACTAGCAGAGGCTTTTATTGTGCCAACCTTCTGCCTTTTTTCTTCTCATAGAAAGAAAAGATGTAATAATGCAACAGTGTCTTTTATTAGTGCTAGGACTCTTCATTGAAAAGCATGTTAAAACATCTGTGCAGTCATCCTTCTCTTAGGAAACATATATAAAATTCAGATAAGTGCCAGCTCGTAGTGGAAAATATCAGAGAAGCGACTTAGGATTTTCCTTACCCCACTTAAAGCTTGTCTAGAAAGTTTATTTCCAAACTGGCTTTTAACTAAAATTGGACAGCAGCTCTATATCCCAGCCATTGGAATAAATTGGTGTCTTGATGGCCACATTAGACTTTGCGGTACTGATTTTGTTTCATTTTTTCCTGTTTTTACAGATCTAGAAACAGAAAGATTGATTGTTTGCCATTTTTGCAGTGCTGAAGATCACAATGTCTCCTACAGAGAACTGAGGGACTTGCTGGAATCTAAGGCCATTTTGCTTATTGATGTTAGAGAGAGATGGGAAATTAATGAGTATGGAAAAATCCCTGGATCCGTCAACATTCCATGTAAGTTACAATGCTGTCTGATTCTCAGCAGAGGGAGGGAAAAGCTGAGAGCTACTTCATCCGATGCCTTTCACAAAGGCAACCTTATGTAATAGATGCGTAGGATTCACCCACAATTTGATTACACTGTCATACTGGATTTGATTACATGTTTTTCTTTTCTATTTCATACTGGTTAGTTTTTTCTACTTCATCATGTTTCTTCAAAGAGATTAAATCAATAGTGAATCTTTATTTTTGCAGTGGGTGAGGTTGTGGAAGCTTTACAAATGGACTCAGTTCATTTTAAAGAAAAATACAATCAAGACATGCCTTCTAAATCAGACCATATAGTCTTTTCGTGTCTGGCAGGAGTGAGAAGCAAGCAAGCTTTAGCCACTGCAAAGTCTTTTGGTTTCTGCAGGTGAGTATAACATGCGTGGAAGGACTATATAGGACTGCTCGGTTTTCTTGGTGAAAGGAAAGTTGTAGAAATTTTACTTTGTGGTAGACTGAAAGCAGAGCTTGTACTTGAAGTTAGTGAAGAGAACATAAAAATACAAATTTTGATATTCCACTTTTGAGCTGAGGTTAATCAATGGGTAAAAATCAACATAAGTCCTGCTTGAAGTAGAGCCACTGAGATGAGTAACTTAAGATCCAGGTCTTGCAGAAGTGAATTATACTGGAACTCTTGTCACCCAGGCTCCATCTTTTTCACCATTCCCAGCACTTTACTGATTTTGGTTGAAAGCATCTGAACTAATTATTAGACAACTCAGAGTGGCAAGACTAATAAAACAAGTGAATTTCCTCTTTTTTAACTAGTAGTTCAACTAGTTTTCTTGTGCTTTGGAATGCCACAGGTAATCATTTGAGACAAATGAATAGAAAAAGAATCCTAAGGGAATCCTAATAGGCCAGTCTTACCCACTTGTATTCAGAGCAGTGATTTGGAGACAGCAATACAGCAGGAAGTAACTGTAGTTCTATATGACTGTAACTATTTAATGGAATGAATTCGGATGCTTTGGACTTTGCTGCTCTCCTTAGTACTGCCTTCAAGGAGCGTAGGTCCTCTGCTGTAAAACACATCCAGCAGAAAGCATCCAATTTTGAGCCTTTTCCTGTAAGGAGCTGTGACCCATACTGGTGCAGTTCAGATGATCATCCAACACAATATTTGCTGCATTTTAGTGACTACATTAGAATTTCTGGCAAGTGAGATGACCTCCACTTGAGTGTACAAGCAGGGAGTATACACTGAAGGCTTATTCATGATTTTTTAAAGTATGATCTTCAGGACTGCCAGAATGCAGCATTCATGCAAAAAGATAACAAGCATCTGAGCAATCGTTGATTGGAATTGCACTACAATAATTCAGAAGCCAATCCAGCCACGTTCAGAACTTAAGGCTGCCACTTCTAGTCATACTTTCTTGGGTAAACCCATTGAACTTTAGTGGAACCTGTCCTGCCCCATAACAAACTTAGTTGTTGACTCTCAGCACTATCTATAGTTGTATTATTCTTAAAGAAGGAAATATTATAAAAACAAAATGGCAACAAGCTATTGGGTATGAGCAAAACTTTTCCTTTAACACTTCAAATATTGCCACTTTTCTAGAAGAATTAATATTGATTGGTAAACAGCTGAGTAAGGACAATGGGTTGCATCTACTGCATGTCAGATTCAGTGCATAGAACCCAATTAATAGAGACACTGGGTTTGCACAAACAGGATAGGAAAAGAAGCCACAGTGGCTTCTTTTCCCCACCCAGTGCATGTTGCTTCCTTTCCATAATTGTACTTGCTGCATGTGAGTTGCTTCATCTGCTGAACCTGGCAAAGTGGCCATGGCCTCCAAGCTATCCTGTAACTCATAGTTTGTTCTATGGTTCCTGGATGGTTTAGGAGGAAGACTCATGGCATACCATGGGACAGACACAAGAAACATTGTGGGTCCTTTCCCTGTTGCTGTGATCCTGGCCAGTATTTAGACAAGTCAAACTTAGGGATTTTAGAGAAGGCAACATTGTAGAAAGCCAGTAAATACTTGTAATTCCGATACTTTACAAAGCTGGGTATGACAGTGTTTCTCATCTTCCTTGATGAGGAACAAACAAACTATCAGCTGGTCTTATTCTACTTTGTTCCTTTCTCTATCCTATATGGGAATTTTATTGAAACCATCAGTCTTTCACTGCTGTTAGGCAACTGGAATCAGAATTTAAAATATACTACTTTACTAATGTTTGGCTGCAGCCCAGTGATTTCAAATAATTTTTAAGTCAAAGGTACATCTACTTTGAGAAAAAGGATTTCGGCTTCAGATAGTGTGGGTTATACTGTTTGTTTTCTGAGGATATTGTGAATTGTCCTCATTTCATTTTTAAAAAATAAGTGCTGAAGAAGCTTAGAAAGGATCTATATCTGGATGTGGAAGGTTAACATCACTGCACAGATACTGCTCTGAATAAATCAGTGATTCTTCTCTAAGAGGATAATGAAAGTACCTGTAAAATACCTTACACAATAAGAAAAATGACAGAAATTGACGTGTGCTTTCAGAGCTCAGCAGTATGGAGGTGGCTTTCAAGAATGGGCAGAACATGAATCTTCAGTGAAAAAATGACTTCTAGAATAATTATTCACCATCTTGCAACTATACAGGTTATGGCTAACACCCTTATCTTAAAGATCTATACACATTCGTAACCTTGGAATGTCTTAGACAGTAAGAAAGAATTGAGGCCTGTTTCCAGTATTCACCCTGACTTTTCAACTTTATGGAAATCTTTACAAAGATGCAAAAGTTTGAAAATGCACTCTTAAATAAAATGTTCTATTGTAACTTAAGAAATTTGCAATCATAATTTGTTTTAAGAACTGAATGGATTTTGACTTGAAACACATTGGATTAGAATGATGTTTCATCATTCTCATTTCTGCTTTTCTCACTGATTTCAGTGAGGCTACTCTAAAATTGTCTGCATCAAACCATTGGAAGTAAATTGTATGTAGGAAATCTTTAATCACAATCTCAGATTTTTTTAAATTATAAAGCTAGTAATGATAGGCCAGAAAGAAAATATGTTGCTTAAAGCATTAGCTACACATGAATGGAACTCAGATATTTAGCGACTGTGCCCTGAGTTTCCTTTTCTTGCTTGAGTTTTTGTATTAAACAATCGTAGAAATTTTTATTGGCACATGCTTTTCTCCAAGCAGGGATCAAATCAGAAATTTTATATACTAATGCAGATTCCATCAGAGTTACTAATGCTTATCAGCTACCATTAAACAGAAGCAGCATCTCCTTCTAGTTAGGTATCTTCATTGGTCTTTTGAGTTTCACTTTATACCCACACACCCTTCTCTCTACCTGATTTATGTAATACCATAAATACAGTGTTTATTTTTAATTATGGAATTAAAAAAATATAGTCAAAACTGTCAATTTGTATTTGTTTTTATTCCTACCCGGCTAGTCCATATTACAAATAAAGTGTAAACCCTCAAGGGAACAAAATTAATTTCCAAACTACTACAGACATGGTGTCTTCAACCATTTGTGTTAGCAAGATCACAGGCATCAATAAAATAAGCAAAACAACTAAGGGGAGTAGGAAAAGGCCAAAAACACATCACTTCTCACAGAAATGTTTTTGTAAGTCAGTACCCAAAAACACGCTATATAAAAATAACTTCAACAGTTAAATGCAAAGAGCCCAAGCACTTGCATACAAAAACACTTTGGTTGCACTTAATTGAGGGACAGATCAAGTAGAGGCAGGCGCTGCTGCTTTTTAAAAAATCAAGTTTTAGGACAAGCACCACGTGACAAGACCCTTCCAACCAACATTCCTTTGTTTTCATAGCAGTGGAATGTTGTTTTCTGGGGTGAAGTGAGAGCTTAGACTGAAATCCAATAGTTTTCCTGGTTTTGTTTTTTAGGATAGGATACAAAAACAATTACTAAATGCACAATCTGTCCATTAAAATCTAAGGGCTTTGGACCAGGTTCCATTTTCAGTGGGACCGAACAGCACAGGATATGGCCCTCCAGTTGAAAAAGCAACTTAGGGCATGACCCGATGCATGTTTAGACAAGCTAGCTGGGCAATGCTGGAAGTTCTCAGACTTTTTTCCTGTCTAGGTATGCACAGGGTTGCACCCTAAGCTTTCGAGATAAATTTTACAGTATTTTTAATAAATATTTTACTATTGAGTCAGATATAATCTCATCTGAATATCTGCCACTTTCTCAAGAGGCCATTGTAACGTATCATTCATAGTAGCAATGAAGGCATACTAAATTCTAGCACACAACACACACCCACCATGACAACCTCAAACAAATTGGTTCTTTACTTGATTAGATTACAAAACTTGACTTGCAATGTGCACAAGGGCTTCATTGTTTAGCATTTGTAAAGAGTGAAATGTTCTTCCCTACAACAGCCACAATTTGCATGATACATATTGCACTTGTTTGGGTATCCCACATTTCATTTTCCACATACAAGCTGTAGGTACTAAAAGCATCTCACATTGTCTAGCTCGTGTTTTCAAGGAGTGCCCCCCCACCAGGTATTTACTAAAAGTGTGTTCTCCTTATACAGTATCCACTGACATTCAAAGTATATACCTGGAAAGTTAGGATCTCCCATCCAACATGTCAAAGTTGCCTCATGTGGTTAAACTAGCATTAGGGTAACAAAGATCCAGTTATGTTCGCCCAATTTCATGTTAACAGGATTTTGCAGACTCTTTACTATTTTTTCAAACAAAAAAAGTACTGAATTCTGTCCATACTCAATTGAATAATTTTTTCTAGCATCATCCCAGGCTTTTGATTTGTTTGGAGTCTTGCCTATGTATTGTGCCACAACTCAAACAGGTATATGTCTAAGGAAAAGCTTTCAGTATGCTTGACAGAAACATTCTTCAAGTTTTTTTCTTAAAAGACATTATTGAAACCTTCTGTCCACATCTTCACACAGGAAAAGATCCCAACGTGTCTTAATCCAAAGTGGTCCATAATGAATGTCTTTGGAATGTCTTAAGACTGGCTGTAGCTAGAGTTCTGACTTCCATTTGGACCTTGATCACTTTCACTGTTTGGAATAAAGCAGATGTGAACATATATTTATGACGTATTTTATTTCTGTTAAGCCAGACCATGATGGTGTTTGCAACTGCTAACATGCATTCAGGAAATCACAATCTTGGCTATGGATGTTTCCATGTTCTTGAAAGCACAGTATGAAGACTTTTGCTGTGGTCCAGATCCATCTTTCTGCAGGTACCACCTTAAACACTCATGAGTGGTTACACTTGGGTAGAAATGAAATGTACGGGGTAAATAGCCTCAGGAAAAGTCCCTTCAATTCCTTTCAATTGTGAGATCTGTTTTATGCTCTGGTTTCTGAGCCCTCCTGCTTTTAACAAGCTTTGAACTACTACATTAACTGGTGCTCATGTACAGAGAGGCACAGCTATCTGTGCATTAATTTGCTCTTAACATTGGTAAAGCTGAAAAGCATATTTACACAAAACACTAGATACAGAATTTAGCACCACAGCAAGCTCAGGGCCAATTCATTAGCAGAACTGTAAGAGGCCAAAGGGGTCATTTTAGAGCCAATCTAAAATTGCAACAGTCTACTCATCAGCTTATTACAAGTAAGGCAAGCAGGCAGAGCGCATTTTAGAAAGATACCAACAGAGCAAATGCTTTAAGCTAAACCAGGGACAAAGAACCTCAGGCCCAAAAGAAAATCCAGCCCTGCTGGAGTCCCCCAAGCACTGATTTTTTATGATTTCCCCATTTTTTTCTCCCATTTAAATGGTTAAAAAGTCTTTCCTAAGGCTTATAGTTGCTGTCAAGAACTGCATGCCAGGGATATTGCATTTTGGGCCATCTCACCATTGGAACATGGGTCCTGAGAGCTTCTCCAGAATTACTACATAAGTCATAGGGGAGGGAAAAGAATTTCAAGATACATACCTGTTTGGAGGTGGTTTTGGTTTAGGCATCTTACTTAGAATAGAAGTCATTTCTTTCCTTTCATCAAAGTTCTTCCATTGTTCATACAGTTTCAAGATTACCCTGATAATTTCTAAAATCTGGAAGAAAAAAATATGCCTAGATGACAACATTATAGGCACTTTTCTGTGAGTCTTTTAATGGGCATCTGTACAATTACAATGTACAAGCCATTAATAATTTAAATTTATTATTTAAATTAATTTAATTAATAATACAATGAACAAGCCAGGTAATAATTTGTCTCAAGTGAATCTACCCTCTGCATCCTTGCATACTATTTTCTTCTTTGGGTAGAGTGAAGGTCAGACATTGAACTCATCTTCAAACGTTTTAACATCTTAAGCCACTGGTACTTGGGAGTATTTTTCTTTTTAAGAAAGATCAAGACTGGGCTTTGTTATTAACTACCTTCTGTTATGATCTTGATACATACTTGGGCAGCCAAGCACACTGGGTATGGGAATGGTAATACACTGTGGTCTCTGTTAGTAAGTTCATATTTTATCCCTTCAGAATTATCACACACTTGGGTATTTGCCAACTTGATCCAAGTCAGGGTTGTGCATACTCTTTCTGCTGTTTTTTAAAGAGTAGAGATCTTGCTGAGAGAAAGATATATTAAGGTGCTAGATGCAGTCCCTTTCTCCCAGCTCCCCTTTACTCACCATGCAGCTGATTGGAAAAACTTCAGCTTTCTAGAAAATGGGCTATAAGTAGACATATCCCTGCCTACTCCACATGCACTCTGAAATCCTTGTCTACAGGATATGTAGAGAGCTACAAAATTAGTCTAATGTGCAGTAATCTCAAGACCAAAAAATAGAAGCACTTTTATTCAGGCCAAGATTTCAAGTTGTTGACTCCAGTCCCAAATCATACAGAGCTTTGCAACAAGTGCCCAACAGCTCAAATTGTGCCCTCGAATGGAACAGGAGTTCTGTTTAAGGTACAATCCTATTCAAGGTTATACAGCAAAAGTCACATAACTCCCAGGATTCCAGTGCTAAGATCAGTAGGCCCTTTTCTGTCTAAACATGTATACGCTTACACCCTTAGTGATTCTAGTACCTACTCCCAGTTAAAAGCTTCTTAGCATTTATTTTAAACTGCTATTTCTAAACAGCCTTTTAAGGTAGCCTTATATACAACACATTAAATGCTGAAATTACACGTGACACAAAGTTTCCTCTATTGTTCAGCTTTTTAAAAAATCAAATAGTAGCCTCCATGGGAGCTTGCAATCTTTGGTGGAAAACTGGATCGGTGGAAAAGACCATCTTAACTCTTTCCCATTTGCGCAATTCTCCACTTAAAATCCACAGATGATGCATTTATAATTGGGGGAAAGCTGCAGATGAAGAACTGGCTGAGAAGAAATTTTGGGCAGAAGCATGGTCTAGAACAAAAATGGACAAAGAGCCTCTCCTCTTAGATTTGCCAGTCAATACTGCCACTGCTGCAGGAAACATGCCTGTAACTGAATAGCAAGCGTAGTTTCAGTCTTGGAGAGCCTTTCTGCTTTTGTTTGCATCTCAGCAGCATGATGAACTGCTATTAGCAAGAATTTAGTAATATGCCATATACAAACACAGGGAGACCGCACTGCAGAAGAAACACATCACAGCTGAAGTTTTCTACTTTTTTTTAAGAAAACAAAATGTGCCACTGGGAGCTTGGGAGAAGGGAACCAAAACCACAAACAGGCGTTTGATTCCTTCCAAGAGCTGGCAAAACCAGCAATACTTCATATATTGGCATTTCTTCAGGATTAAACTTCCTAATTAATATAAACAACGGAAGGCAATTTGTTGGAAAACTTGTTTCCTGGGGGACTTTGCCTACAAATCTGGAGTAAGATTTGTAATTTGTAGTGGTTGGCAAAATTGGGACCATATCTAAATCTAAGTTGTCTAACATTGAATTTGCTCCCAAACTCAAGGTTAATATTCTGAAGAGTTTGTACACATTTTCAGCATGTAACCAGCTAGTCCAACTGGTTCACTATTCTGGAACCAACAACATACCACTTTATACAAGGTCAAGTGACTAGCATACATAATTCCACATGCCTTAATAAATCTGTAGCTAGTAAATAAATTGTAACTACCTTCTCCATATCAACAGAGAGCTCAGCAAACCACTGTCTAGCATCCTTTTGCTGGACAACACAAGCCACATGTAGACAAGCTGCAAAGCAAGCCTATTATTATTATTATTATTATTATTATTATTATTATTATTATTATTATTATATTTCTATGCCACCCCACAGCCAAATTTCTCTGGGCAGTTTACAACAATCCCTAAAATAGACAATAAAATGCAGTAAGAATCAGAAAATTGGAAAATGTTTAAAAGTTACCCAGAAGTTGCCCTGGTCCATTAGAAGTAATACTGCATGAACCTAGTTTCCTAACTCTTCCCCCTCTTGCTTTCCCCTCTTGTACAACCATCAAGCTTAGATGTACTCCAGTTTGTCAGCTGCCAGAACTTATTGTTTAAATACCATTCCCCTCACAAGAGCAGAGTTTCCATTATGCCATTATAGGCATATTATTATTATTATTATTATTATTATTATTATTATTATTATTACAACATTTCTATGCCGCCCCTTGCCGAAGCCTCGGGGCGGCTTACAACACAATAAAATACATTGAAATACAATAGCACATAATAAATTACCATTAAATACAAAAATACAAAAAATACATTGAGTTACAAACATAATAATATAAAATTAAAATTATCAGTATAAAATAAGTAAATAAATAATATAGGAGGAGAAAAGAGAAGGAAGAAGAAGTTGCCCTGGCCAGATCATATATTTTAACAATTAAAATGATGTTTAAATAAAAAGGTCTTTACCTGGCGCCGAAAAACCAGTAACGACGGTGCCAGGTGGACCTCATTTAAAATGCATCTTAAGTTTAATTTACCAGTTTTCCATTACATTTTTAACTGTACATCTCAGCCATCAAAGGCATTTCAGATGGACCCAAATATTCCATTCAAGTAGCAGTAAAGCATGTTAAAATTTCACCTACCTAGAGCTATCATGAAAGGAGGGTACAGCAGACAAAGATCAGTTCTGTATGTGTCATTCACTATCCTCCTGCACAGACAAAAGCAACAGTTCACCATGCTGTTGTTCATGGCCATGGCCATGCCAAGGCAGTATGACATAGAAACAAGGGTTGGTTTCTTTTTTGAGCACCTTTATGAAATCAAGGTATTAAGTATAATCTAAGCAGAGAGCCATTGTTTCTATATCTTGTTCTACTTGAAACATCAGTCTAATTCCTGGCCAAATGACTGAGCTGCATCCAGAGACATGAGGTTATCTTCCATGCAGCCAATCAGGTTTTGTCATCAAGATGTCTGACAAGATTTGCTATTATTCAAAAGAAATGGCTGTACAGCTATTTGCCTGGCTTCATGCATTTTCCCTGGCGGATTTAAGTAGTGCAAATCCCTAGGCAATTTCTTAGCTCCTGTTGCTCTGGCAACTTGTGAAAAAGTTCAATTGCTGACAAAGCATTGTTTGCAAGATCGGTTTGGAATTCAGCTCATTTTTCTTCATCTTCACTCTTATTCAAATGAAAAGATTATCTGCCATTTATTTTTATTACCAAGCAAGGGGAAGCAGCATGTCTTCTTGGCCCATATCCTGCACATACTGGAGTAGAGGTCTATAGGGATGATACACTATCAAACAGCAGTCCTAGAAAGATTGTGTTTTAAAAAGGAAAGTTAAAATTAAACACATGGCAAAGGTCGTTAGTAGGCATTCCAACTAATCAGCATCAATACGTTATGTGCTTCTTCCCATCATTTCAAGTTTCAGAAAGTCAGCATGCAGCATCCTTTAGTCTGTCAAAATGAAGGCAATAGTCTCCCTCCTTAGAATACTTCTCTGCAGACTGATGGGCAGCATGTTCATTTCTATCTCCCCTGGAGATCCAAAGTGACACATCTGCAGAAACCTTACTTACCAGCAACCTTGGATTCCTCATTGGAAATAAACACTGCCAAATGACAGTCTGTTACTAAAGCAACATAAACAAGGAACTTGCCAAAATAACTGAGACTAGTTCGAAATGTAAATGCATTCTCACTTTTCATCTTGACAGGCAAATGCTGAATTACACCAGGAGAAAGCCGGGTCGTGAGCTAGGAATAGAGGTGCAATGCACAAGAGCGAGCATGCTGCAAGCTACACTCTTAAAACTCCCAAACCTTGTTACTCACAATGTATCCCTCAGAAGGTTATTTAGCATAAATACATTGCCAGCATTAAGCTGATTTCCAAGGGGAATGTGGCTTAGCAGTATGGACTGGAGTTTCACCCTTTGAGAGTTGTTAAGGACTAAATTAACATTCCAGGACTTCTACTACATGGAGTGTCAGCCACAGTTGGACCATCTTATAGAGTACTTTATTCTAGATAACTCCTTCATAGGGATTATATCACTCTGCTCTTTGTGGTAACCTCACAAGACTTCAGTTGTGGTAGCTGTTACCACAAGGAATGCTACAAAAGCAGTGACCACCGTCCCGTATTTGATGTAGAAGAACTGGGCTTCCTATACTGGCTAGCATAATGGAGGGGAAAACAGCTGCACTCATATCTACACAGCAGCCAAGAATGTATCAGTCTACACAGAAAGATTTATGGGACACCAAAACATGATCGGAAAGAGGGATCATGTGTTCTTTGATCTGGATTCCATCCAATAAATATTACATCCCTCAAATCCTTAAGATTATATGTTGGCAAATATTTATAGTACTTCTCGGAAACAGAATATCAGCATGAATCCAAATGTCACTAAAAAAAACCTTGCTGTTTACATATATTCCTTTTTGCAACACTAATCTTAACTCTACTTTCAGAAACTAAACTAGCCTACTACAATCTAGTGCCCTTCCGTTATGTTAGACTATAACTTCCACCATGTCCCAACACACAACTGCAAGGCAACAGGCTGGGGACAGCTGAACTAAACCATGAATTGCTACACAATGGTAATACTCATTTCCTAGAGAAGTTTTGCAACACAACTGAGGAGAGATAAAATAATATTTGTATAGGCCATGTTGCCTTGGTAGCTTTCCCAAATCTGGGTCCTTTCAGTGTTAACAACTATAACTCCCCAAATTCCTGATTTTTAGGCATGCAGCCCTGGAATGGTGGAAGTCAAAGTTCAAACCATGTGGAGGGTACCAGTTTGGCAAAGACTGGCCTAGCCTCAGGAGAACCAGCATAAAGCAGAGGCAAAACTATGCTTCCGTTCTTCCTAGGAACAGGCCTTTAAGGTGACAACAGAGAGCCTTTCACCTCTGCTTCCATCAAAAAATATTCTGTTTGAATCCTGAAACCATTCAGCATGTTCTGCATCAGCCATGGCACTGTATTTTGTTAGGCAGAGATCCAAATGTAGCTTCAAACTAATCATGGTTAAGTAGGACTGCTTACTGTCATGTCCTTAGCCATGTTCCTGTGACTCTGCCTATTCAGTTCCTCTCAAGGCTGTACTCCACCGTTATCAAATTATGGTGTGTCCAAGTTAACTACTGTCCCTGGAACAGGTCTCAGGGCATCTTGGAAATAATGCAGCATACAGCTCAGTCAATTAAGGGCTCCGTTTTGGGTCCTGTTCCAGTTTAGAGGTACTAACTTTGGGACAATGTTCTGCATACATTCTCCAATAAAATAACAAGCAAGGATATTGTCTTAAAATCTGATCTACCCAATGGTAGGTGGCCCAGCAAGCCATTTCAAGAAACAAGCCACACCACTGCCATGGACAGGATGCAACTTACCATTTGGCCTGGTATGCTGGTCATCTTTCCTTTAACAGAGCCAATTGTGTGTTTTTCATCATGGGAAGCTAGTGAGTTATTTGATGCTCATTGCATATATGCACTTTACATGCACAAGAAGCAGTACAGGATCATACTAAGACAGCTATCTGCTTAATCATCAAAAATAATCTATCAGTGCAGATGTGGAGAGGCTGTTGTGAGTCCTGGTGGCATCCAGGAGAAAATCATGAGCTATTTTTCCAAGATGGGTGGAAATGCAATTTTTCAGAATCAGCACATGAACAACCCATTTGTAGGTTGTTAGAGTGATGTCAGAAGCTCAGATATTGTACGTTACTTATGGAATAAAACAACCAAAAGATAACCTAGGAACAAAGCATAGGTTAACTTTAGGTTGCTTACCTGATGCCCTAGTAAGTTAAAGAGGACTTACCATTAGTTCTAAGAGATAGAATTCACATTCTAGTATCTGCAAGGATAAAAATAATTTAATCAGATAGATCATATTGTATAAAAACCTATTCTTGTACAAAAAGGAAGGGAAGGGGCATGTTTAGAATTCCATAGAAATAAAATTGGATAAGCTGTGAGACTATGCTTAGGATATTTGCTATGAATGAGATGATACACACATTACTTTCATGAAGCTACAGCTGGTATTCATACTTCAACCTGTTCTACATGCACAAGTAGTCTCTACCTTATACACAACCAACAATTTCCTATGTATTGCCATACAGGAATTCTTAGTTTCTAACATAGACCCTTTAAGCAACAGATGAAACACAGAATGTATGATAAAATTAAAACTTCCATATTTATTTATTTATTTATTTATTTATTAATTAAAACATTTCTATGCCGCCCCTTGTTGAAGCCTCGGGGCGGCTCACACAACACTGAAAAGCAGCTTTGCAATCAAATATTCTACTTTGGATATTAAGCTGAGATTAATACAACAAAAAGTGTGTCCTTAATACACAATGATACATGAACATAATAAAAGCTCTGCTGGATCAGACCAAGGGTCCACCTGGCATTCACACAGTGTCCAACCAGCTGTCTACTGGAAACCAATAAGCAGAACATGAAAGCAAAAGCAACCTCCTGCCCATGTTTCCCAGCAACTGGTGTATATAAGCATACTGCCTCTTATACTAGAGGTAGTATCTAGCTATCAGAATAGCCATTCATAACCTCGTTCTCCATGAATTTGTCTAAACCCCTTTTAAAACCATTGAAATAGGTGGGCATCATTGCATGTTGCTGTAGTGAATGCCGTGGTTTTTGCTCTCCTCTATCTTGTCTCCCCTTGGCTGCTCTCTTCCCTTAAATGAGACGATTCTGGATGTTATAAAGCGCCTGAGATACTACTTCACATATGAAACATAGGCAAGACTCTTGAGGATAGGAGGCAGACATGCAGGCAACCACCAGCTGGTCTTACGTTTCTATAGAAATTGCAATGTATAGCCCCCAGACAAAAGATAAGGTAACCATCAACATGGTCCAAAGTAAATTGCCTATACTACAGGATGGACTATTTGCACAGTAGGGCTTGCAAGAGCCACATTGGCAGCCAAAGGCATTCCCTTGCAACAGTGGAAATCTAAAACCATTCTGAGCTTTGACAGATGGAGTCAAGATCTCCTAGCACCGACAGCCTATGAAAACTTGTTCTACATCAAATTACAAAAAGTGGAAAAACTCTGACCAATTTGGAATAGCTTCTTTGAGCTATATGCAGAGTAAGACTAGGTTCAATTAAATAGTTGTGTTGATCACAACTGGAATATACAGCACCAGTCAAGTGAAAAACTATCACCACACTTCTTTCCTTTCCTGGTCTTTCTTCTCTTTCCCTCCTCTGTTATCTTTGAAACATCTCATAAAAATGTAGATTCCATAATAATTTTTTGCTGTGCTTTTAAAAATCTTTATATTTGAGTAGAAAGAAGATTAAACACACTGAAAAAGCAGGAGAAGGAAAGATAAATGAAATACAACTGCATTGATCAGTCCACCCCTGCTTAAGTTATGATACTAAATCTACTTATTAAAAAGTAAGTAGGGCTTCCTTCCAAATAAACATATGATCGTGGAACTAATTTATAATTCAGAGCAGATATGCTATGAGAGGGATCTCCAACCTTTTTGGGTCTACAAGTACATTTGTAAATTTGAGGAAAATGTGTCCCAGGCACCAGCACAAAATGAATGTCCGGCCGGGGGGCAGGGGGACCGTTCACCAAATCTGCTAATGCAACAAATCTTCCATCTAAGGAAAGGTGAAGTGACGAGATTCGAGACAAGAAACTCACCGAAGCAACCAAATACAGGCAACTATTTAATTGGACCTAATTTTCTGTTCCAAAAAAATATCCATTTCACAGAAGCCAATCAATTTCTCTCATCCCACAAACACATACTCATACCCTTTCACTCTGCCACGACTTAACCAGGGTTGCTCTGCCACCCCTCCCAGTCCCCAGTCAGCAATGGTGGTACGCCCTTTTTTTTCTCCCCTTTCTCTTCTTAAATAAGAAACTTTCAAGCAGCTGGGTACCCCGTGAAGGTTCAGCCTTCAGCCAGCCTTCACCTTCATTTCCCAAGAATGTCTCTATGTCTCACATCAAACTCAGAGATGTTCTAGAGAAATAAAGACTATGTTGGAGGTTGATGCTCTGTGATGCATGCCATATCTTGGGATAAAAGTGGATTTAAAACAATAATGGGCACAGGAAAGGGCTTATTGGGCACTGAGGGAGTTGTCTGCAAGCCTGCATAGAGAAGACTCCTTGAATACCATTTTTTGTTAAAAAGGTATGATAAAAATAAAATAAATCCATAACCCTACAGACAATAGCATAGCTATGTAGCATACTTACATGGTTCATCCTATAAGGAAATTCCTTTGAAAAGGCATATGAAAATCTAGTTTTCACTGCAATAAGAAGAAATCAAGAGACATGGTAAAAAACTAAGCCAATGCACCTATCTCTGTCTCAACCCCCTAATCCCAACCCAATGCAGAATATTGGATGAAATGATTCACTTTTAAAGGCACAAGAGAATAACAAGAAACTATGTCTACTGAAGCATATGGACTTCAGATTGCAAGATATGGCTGCACATTGCAGCTGAAATCATCACTGAATGAAGTAGTATTTAAAGGGCAGAGCAAATTTTTGTTAAAAAGCATATTATTCTCAGCATGTTGTTACAGTGGGGGGGGGGATGCCAAAAAAGCTTTATGAATGTATTCATAGGCCCCTGCAAGTTGTCTGAATTTTCTACTAACGTGGAACTATTCATTAGTTTATTTCAATTTGTTTTCCATGATTGCATCATTACAATCAAATAACAAGACAGACCTCAATAAAGTATTAGGGTTATTAAAATACAACTTATTTTCATTTTAATATATACATTTGGAAGTGTATATATATTAAAAACCAATAACACTGTGCATCCTACTCTATAAAGCATCACTATGGCTAGTAGGATTTGAAAACATCTACCTGTGAAAGGCAGCATTTTTACATGTGAAACTCTTATCATACCAAGGACCAAGTTTACACTTACATACAGAAGTAGCAGCAGATATCAACCTTGTGTTTGAAACCACACCAAATTCCTAGAGCAAGAAAAGAAGTTAAATTGAACACAACCCTAGCAGCACACTGCTAGTCCTTCACAGAGAGACAAACTGCCTCTAATTTGCAGCCAGTGTGGGTCAATAATTTTATTTATGTTATATTTTATTGTATTTTATCTATGTGAGCCATCCCGAGGCTTTCGCAACAGGACGGCATATAAATACTTTAAATAAATAAATATGATGGGTCTAAGGGGGCAGTCCTTCAAGAAGGCTGTGGGCAAAGGGTGAGCAAGAATACTGCTGTACCACAACAGCCATACCCCACTCCCCTTCTTCATTCAATTGGCCTTAATGTAGCTATGCCGGCATTGTGAGTTATAATGACCCTGCCTTAGAAAGTGTTCCCCCTTCAACTGGATCTGTCAGTTGCAACATTGCTGCTGAGTTGACTCTGTCTAGCCCAGGCTTCTGCAACCTCAAGGCAAGAAAAACAACTCTCAGGACAAGGCCTGGAAGCCTTGTGCGCCTGAGGAACAGAGGCTATCAATGGGTTTGTATATATGACCAACAAAATGATCATAATTAGGAAGAATGGAAGGAAGAAAAGAAAAAAAATATACTGCTCCAGGAACCCTTGGTGGAAGAAATGCTATTTACTCTGCTAAATCCCTATATCCATTAGAAACTAGAAAAAAACAAGGCAGAAACTCAATAAATATGACAGATTGGAACAGTAATGAATTACTGTTGATTGGCACCATTGGATCTTCTGTCTCTTCCAGCAGGACATGGACAGTCACCAAGTCTTCCAAGTTCTATTAAGATCTACTCCTCTCTCCATCTTATCAAAACTTAACCAGAGAAACAAAAATGTCTACTTACCTCTACTTTGGATGCTAAAAATACACATGTGGGAGCCATAAGTACTGGATCTATACTTTTTAGGGAATACCTGGAAAGTCAAAGCATGTAAGTTTAAAGTGAAGGTACTGCTTTAAGACAATTTATTATGTTAAAAATATGAGAAAAAACTATTGTATTTCTTCTAACATTTTTCATGCTCCTACCTGGCATAGAACCTCTTGAAATAAACAGTAGCAGTAGCAATAACTTGTTGTCTTAATTTCAGATGTTCACCTAAGGCCTGGATAACTTACAAACAAAAACAATACTGAGTTAAAAGTTTCAAAATACCACCTTGCAATTTATCAGAAGCACTGAAAGTATGTCTTATAGGGTTGTAAACTGATTATTTTTCCAAAAATTCTGCAACACTATTACAATTTGATCTTATGCATTTTCCAAAAGAATGCCCTGCTTATTTCAATTAAAATTATTTTGACATTTACAGATCAAATTTAGCTTATTTATCCTCTTGGGAACTTAACAAGATTTGCCAAAGCCATTTTTTATTTTACTAGCGAAGGAACTAAGATTATAACATATTGGCCTGCTTTGGACATACAATTCCCATATTGCTAAACCACAATATCAAATATTGAATTAAAGTCCTGGCTAGTAAACTGACATGAAACCATACAATATTAAATTGAGGTTTGGACATAACCATTGTTTAACTTAATCAGGACTGGTAAACCAAAGACAAGTGGGGCACATGGTCCCATCCATTGTTCCTAGATGTGAACTATGGTTTAGCAAGCCAGGAAATATATATCCTAACTGGGCCTGTGGTTTCTCAGTGATTATTAAATGGGCTGAAAGGTGAACCCCAGCATAAATTCCAACACAATATGCACTAAACCACAATGAGTCCACATTCATACAGATGGTACTTATTTCCCACTCTTAAAGATTGTTCCATCAAATTAGTCACACCTCTAAGAAGGACAGAAGAGGTTTGTGACATGTGCAGGCAACACTTCAATATAGCAAAGGCAACAGTTTGCGCTATTATGTACAATTAGGTCAATTCTCAATTCATCTCTGGTTTAGAACTACACTGTGTCCCTTTTGAAGGCCCAGAAGCCCTCACCTGAACTATCACTAGCTTGCAATGTTTAAATATACCACAGAATGGATGCTATCTGTCCAACTGAGCCGCCAGTGTTAGCATAGTTGCTGGATTTGGCAGAGGCAGCAGGTGTTTGAAGTACGACATATTTAGTCTAGGGAAAGGGAGTGGGATGTGTGAGGAAAAGAGACTAGAGGAACTCATCAGCTGCTCCATCACAAGCTCTGCCTGCCAGTTGGCCAAGAAGCAACCCTGGTGTCAGCTGTACAGGTAGCTCTCATTTGGCCTTCCAGGCACAGGAGATGTGCCAAGCATGTCAGAAGCATCCGTCTGGGATATCAAGCAGAGGTGGAAGAACAGAATGAGAGAATGAAACATACGGTGATTACTTGGTATTTTTCCTGAATCCCTTCATCCATTCATAATCTGAACATCACAGTGCTGTATGATCTTCTGACATTTTCAAACAGTACCACAAGTTCCACTATTTCAATTCATGCATCTATGCCCAGATCTTAAAAGGCTGAAAGCCAAACAAATCATTTGCACATAGAATAATTGGCTTCAGAAACAACCTTTACCATTTTTATCAACCTGAGGCCACATTCTAATGCTTTCATTATAAGCTGTGTGCCAAATCAAGGTATCTATGTAGAGAATAAACTATGTAGAGAATAAACTCTTTGGATATATCAATCAGCAGCACTTTGCAGACATTCTTAATCAGTACTATCTTTCTCTCCTAGCTTAAGTGTACACAGAACTGATAATAGTTTAAAATAGGAGATAAAAACTAGAAGGTCCAAAGAGAAAATCGCCACCACCGCCATCACCATGACCATCGTACTATCAGTATGCCAGGTGCTATACAAAATGTAAAGTATGCATATAGCTAGGTCGTACATGCAGATTCATCTTTTCGCAACTGCAACTTTGTTAATTTGCCTGATGAATGATAAAAGCAAGACTATTTCTTTGCTATGTTGGGACAGGTTTACAACTAATTGGCATTGAATGAGGTTACTTTCTGCAAAAATAGAAACTTTACAAACTGTGACTAGGTTTAACAGGATCCATTACCATTGGGATTCACAGAGAAGAAAGAGGTACCTCAGTTACCAAAGTTACAGTCAACTAATTACTGTTTTCCCTGTTTTATATCTAAGCATCCTTTCTTTATTCTTTTCTACAGGCCTTTGAAAGAAAAAATTCAACTATTGCATGCAAAGCCTTCCCCAGACATGCATTTTATACTTATTTACTTTCAATTAAAATGCACTGATGTTGAAGACATTTCTTTTTGCAAATGTTATTAAGTTACAGTCTTAAATATTGATATGTTTATAAAGGACTGCTTCTATAGGCTGTGATTGATACAGTAAATAATCACATGCTTAGTTTTCAGAAAACAAGAGCTACTATTTAAAAAATCTTTCTAGTTAATAGTCTAATTATTAGCAAACTGTACTGTCAGGTTCCACCTGTTGATCAATTTATTGTGCAGCAATTGGTGTATGGGTTCCAGCCTCTACAAAAATGCTTCAAGGACACCAGATTACCAGTACTCACAGCACAATGATGACTAACTTAGTACTCCTATGGTTGGATGAGGTCATGAGTACTAAATGGCTAACATCCCTGACCAAAGGGATGACGAGCTGGAGCAGCACACTCTCTCAAACACACTCATCAGTCTATGCTCTAGAGTACCCCTCCTGCTTATCATTGCTTTTTCTGCAGAGCGGTGGCCCATACAGAAGTTGCAGAAACTCTACAGACATCCCTTGTCAATATCACAAGTCCCACTACTGCAGCAGGAGCTGAAAAAGATCAGCTACAGAAGTAACACATTTAGGAGGAAGAGAATCCAGGAAGTCCCATCTATCCAGACTGTATGGCACACAGACCAAATAGCATCATTCCCTCTAAATCAAGGCCTACAAGGCTATCATATGAAATCAGCATGTTGTAGAGCTCAAGGCACATTGGCAGAGTGCATGCTTTGTGTGCACAAGGTCCCAGAAAAAAAAGGATTAACTTTAGGGGGGGAAAATCAGTCTTGAAAAATATTGCATTTAAGTCTTCTTCAGGAAACTTTTTCAAGTGTTCAAGTCATGATATACTGGACAGATGTTTCCTCTAAAATGAATTTATGATTATTTGTAGGCATTTTGAGAAATTAACACAAACTCATTCTACCATAACACATACAGATCAATGGACCAAATTTGAACTGAAACCATTTTACCATTTGTAAAAAATATCTGCAGTTTCCAATATTCTTCTTCTGACAAAAATTTTAAGTCCTTTTGGCGTTCTTTCAACAGATCTTGTTTATCCAAAATCCATTGTAAGCTACAAAGGAAAAAAGGGGTCAGGGAAACAATTTTCAGAACAACTTATTATTTATTCACAATATTCACTGCACAGACTAGCATTCTACCATGGACAAAAAGGAAACATCTTGCTTTCCTTGCATATTGCATTTTGTTTTGCTTTCATTATGCAACCTAATTTCAAAGCCAGAAACTTTCCAGGATATTCAGTCAGAGGTATTCAGAACTGGTAATTGTTTACCAGTGCATTTTGTGTCTGCTGCCAAAGCCAAAAGTTGTGAAAGACATAAAGCAGCACCTCCATGAAGAGACCCTGCCCTATGAGAGACTAACATCTGGTTGTTTTGGCAGGTGTCAGATTGTTTCATATTAGGTGTGTCATGGTCCAGAGATTCAGCTGCAGAACAGAGTGACAGTTGTGGAACATCTGAGAACTAAGAGAAATTTTGTATGTATCTTTTCCCCTAGTCTGGTGACCTTTGTCTGTTTTATTTGACTAGTCTGCAAGCTGCCTCCAGAACTTTGGTCAGTAGATGGGGCATGAATTCCCATAAATACACCTTCTCCAATATGTTGCCTTCTGGAAGTTCTGGAGCAAAAGCCCCTTTGGCCCTAGCCAACAGAGCTGAGGATCAGGAGCTTGGGAACTATAGTTTGAATCATCTGGAGGGCACCATGCTTGGGAAGGCTATCTCAAGTAAAGGTCAAGCAAAACATACAGACATATTAGCACTGTATATTCAGTTCAGCCTTTCTGACTGTAATGTCTGTATAAACGGCATCTTTGCAGCATCACAGTGTCTAATGATAGGGTTTTGTAGTGCTTGGATATTATCCAACTTGGATTTAGTCTCCTACTGAAGCAAGTCTTGGTATCAACTTGTTAATAAGCTTATAAACACATCACATCTTTGTATTATAATTTAAGAATTAACAATCAGACTTACAATATCCTTCTTGGACATACTTCTTCTAAACAGATGTGTTTAAAATTCAAGCAATGGTGCTTTACACACACAAGAGTGCAAAAGGAACTAAATGGAGTGCGGCAGTCATGAGAATTATGTATAATCAGAAAGAGATCATTTTTTCCTATTTGTAGGTTCTAATTTGCATTAAGCAGAAAGATGCACCCTCACCTTGTTAGATATAACTACACCTGGGTAAAGGCATTTCATGACTAAAACCTGTCAGTATCAGTGATCTGTTGCAGATTCTTCAGTGCTATAGCATCACAAAACTTTATTTACATTAAACTTCAGGGGATGGGCAGGGAGATGATGGGGTAGAATAAGCAAGGGAAAGTACAGCAAAACTTAGTTAAGGTGTATGAAGCTGCTAAATGTGTGTAAAAGGAGAAAAAACTATAAATTCAAACAACTACCCTGCTCCTTATGTACTAAACCTAGATATCTATCTAACATCCCATATTTTTCATTGCATCTATTTTCATGTATATTTAATCAGTACTGTTTTTACTTTTGAACAATTAAAAAGAAAGAAAGAATAGTTAAAGACAGTTTGCATAAGCTGCATGAAACACAAAATAGATAAGATGGTATCTGTTATTGAACCACACTGCTGAGTGCTGACAAGATGGCCATATCAAATGTTGTTTTTTGCTATGCAGAACTCTGGTGAGTTTCTGTATAACACACCAAGCAGCACACTGTTAGTATGTCTAAAGCACCTGGTTCTACATGAAATATCACATTGCTGGTGCCACAGATGCTTTATTATCAGAAAGTATAGTTCATATTCAGTCAGAAGAATGCACCACACTAACAACTGTTACTATTAACAACTGTTAATGGATAAGATTTTTTCTAGCATCCCCGTCTAACAAATATATTGTGTTGTAGCCGCATTTGTATTAGCAACCCTATAACATTGTTTGTCTATATATAAGCCCCAACCTCAGACACTGCACTTCTAGCCATGAAATCCCAGCCCAGCCCATATAATATTGCAGTCTTCTCCAACGTGGTCTCCAGCAGATAGGTTGAGTTTCCACTCCCAGCATCCCCACTGGTCATGCTAACTGGAAGGGATGATAGCTGTAGTCCAAGGCCTCTGCAGGGTGCCAGGCTGGAGAACACTGCAGGGCTCCAATCCCCCATTATCTATCCTCACCGAGCACAATTCCACAGAGGGCACCTCCTTTCAGTACTCCCCTTTAATTGCCTGCACCCCGCACCCGGCAATCCGCACCACCTTCACTTCCTACCCTGGAGTCATCGAAACCCGCGAGAAAGAGGGCAAGAATAGCTTACTAATGCGAGCTCTGCCAGAAATTCCCTGCCATGTAGAGGAGCGAAGGCGCGGGGAGCGTCTTCTTTTCTGCTTGCCCAAGCAGAGAGTACCAACCCCGGTGCCCGGTGCAACCTCCTCTTCTTTCCCTTTTTCCAGGAACAGGAACAGCTTCAGCAGCAGGAAGGAGTCTTGCAAAGCCGCGGCGCTCATAGAAGCGGCAACCTCAGCGCTGTGTGCTCCTCCTCTGTCGTCCGGCCAGCCAGTTCCCTCGCAGACGAGTTCCCCCTGGAGGTGACGCACCAGCGCGCCGCTGGCTTTCCCCGTAGCTGCTCGGGGGTCGGGCGTCCGCTCGTGCGCGCGGGCCTTGAAGTCGCTTTGCCCAGTAAATGCGCACTCCTTAAACGCGTGCATCCATTTCTCAGGTATTTATTTTTCCTTTTTTGCTCCCAGTAACCCTAGCGGCACCTCCAGGCCCGGCCTTGTCAGCGTCGCATGACCAGAAGAGCCGAATCTGAATGTATGCGGACCGGTCCCGCCTCATTTCAACTTGGATCCTGAGTTCCCCTCCGCTCCGCTCCACCATGGACAGTTTTTCTAATATCTTGCATAAGGAAGAGATCTGGAATTATTATGCTGCTTTATTATTATGCTGAATTATTATCTTATTGTTTTTCCCTCGGAAGGAATCCAAGGTGGCTTAAATAGCTCCATGTTTTAATCCTCACAACAAGCCTAGCTTAGGCTGATAGTGAGGGGCTGCCTGGTGGGTTTGCTCTGTAAGCTTCATGGCCGAGTGGGGACTAGAACTCAGGTCTCCCAGATCTGCAGTCCAACATTCTACCTGCCATGCCATGGTGGTCTTGAGCTGGCCCAATAAAGGCCTTACCCCTACCTTAATCTGATCCTAAACAGATATCTGCATGCCTTCTCTTGCCTTAGATTATAGTTTGTCAGCAAAACCTTTCTTTCTATAACAATTGACCACTTTTTTTTTTTTGCTGTTTTGTTTTGTTATGCAATTGTGGAACCTATACCAACATATATCAGGATTTTGTAAGCCTGTACTGCTGACTTACAATTTTTAATGTGAACTGAGTATGAAGAGCATCCTTATAATTTTATTTATTTGGATGTAGAGCCCACTTTTTTTTCTTATAACAAACTCAAAGTGCCTTACTTCATTCTCCTGCTGCTCTCTGTCTTAACTCCACAACAGTGGGGCTGAGAGTCTGACAGGCCCAAAGTCACCCAGTTGGCTCCATGGCCAAGTGGGAGCTAGAACCCAGATGGCCTGAGTCTCAGTCCCAGACTCTTAACCACTACACCGCACTCCCTCTCATAATGTCCTTGCTTACTGAGTATACATTTGCTATCCATCCACATCTCTCTCATCAGCCTCCATTGACACAAGTATGGAAGGCATCACTTTGACTTGAGTTAGCATACAAATAAAACATGCCTCACATGTTTTTTCTCCACTCCCATTTCCCCAAATAGGGATAACACATCCAGAAACCTGATGCCTTGTGGATATTTTGGACTTGAACACCCAAAAGTTCCAGGCAGCATAACCAATGGTCAGGAATGCCAGGAGTTGTAGTCCTGAATGGCACCAAATTGAAGGGGAACTGACAAAGAGTTTGCAGGGTACACATCCTTGGAACAGAGCACATGATGGGATAGTAATATAAACTGCATGGCGATGTATGCAATTGAAACAGACTTCAAGTCTGATGCTGCTTTTACAGTTTCAGAGGTGCCAATATTATAGATTGTGGCCAAAACCCACACCAGCCTGCAATGTAAATATAGAAATATTATTAGTGAATAAATATGGCACACAGGCTCTCAGCCAAGAATGAAATAATTAACTGGAGCACTACATATTGACCCCAAAATGAACTGTTTCATTATTATCTATTTTACAGGGGGTCATGGATCATAGATTAAGCTAATTTCAGCAAAAAGTTTAAAAAATGTTTTCAGTAAGGTGGACACTACAGTATCACTTTGATAAGGGTTTAATTAAATCAGCCAATTGTTAGAGTTGAAATGCTGGTGATTCTTCATATATTTGAGCGATGCCCAGTGAAAGCTTCCTTTTGGGAGAAACTAACAGTTCAATGAATTTTGTAATGGAAATTTCTTTAAAGATAGACAATTGCCTATTCACTTCTTGGAATTTAACACAAGGTTAACATACATGGATTTCTCATTCCCTTCTTGACAGCTCAATGACTAATATTACAACATTGAAGGAATAAATGGCTATCTGCAATAATATAATGGGTGAATAAACTTTGCTTTTTGAATGGGTGGCCTTTTGCGATGATCTGCAAATAGATAAATATATGGATATTTGGGATGCCTTTGCTGATGTATGATTGCTTTAATAGTGGTAGTACATTATGTTATATACTAATATATAGGGATACATAAAATGTATGTAACTAGTGCTATGGATCTCTTAAATATTTATTTTAAAATTAATGTTTTTGGTTTTTATGTTTTTCTTCTCTAATGATGCAGTTTAATTGTTTTTGCAGTGTCCAATAAATATTTAAAAAGTTCCAGTCTATATGGCTAATGCTGAAATAAGCCTACTGGAAGTAAACAAGCATTGGGATTGAGCTGCAAAACTACTGATATTTAAATAAGAAAGTGATCTGCATTTCTCTTGCCTAGGCGATGTTTTGGGTCTTAGGCAACCTGCTGCTCTCCAGATATTGTCTAATTCAACACCCATCAACCCCAAATTTTGTGCTTCAAAATGTCTGGAAGCTGCCAGGCTAGCAAAGGTTGGTCTAAAGTCATCCAGTTGCTTAACGGATTGCCTGGCCCTGAATTTGGGTTTCTATTTAATGCCATTCCAGTCAATTGAATTTTTGCCCTGGACTCCAATGGGATAAGGATTAGCACACCTTTTCTGCCCTTTTCTACATGCACAGCTGGGTTAAATCCCAGTGGGTCCTGTCCAGTAAATGGGACTTGAATGGGGCTTAGGTTTGTCTTGACAAACTTATTTCACTAGGTCTTCTCTAAGTGGGATTAATATTGGATGCCCAATAGTGGATGTATTGGAGTCGTTATGAGTATATGCTCCACTTGCTGGGTCCTGCAGAGCCTAAGTAGGGAGGGTGCTCTTGCACTCATTCCCTGCTTTGGGGGTTCTCTCTCTGCCAGCTGATTGTTATTACTTGCTGTCAAGTCGTTCCCATCTTATGCCAACCTTATGCATGAATGCCCTCCAAAATGTCCTGACCTCGGCTGCCCTGCTCTGCTCATGTAAACTCACTGGCCACTGTCAATAGAATGCTGGACTAGAGGGAGACCTTGGTCTGATCCAGCCCGACTTTTCTTAAGACCTCACCCCACACATGTGTTAGAGCAACTTCACTGTTTACTAATGCTGTTCCTACTGTAGAGATGACCTCCCGCTTGGGCTGCTAAGTGACAAGACAAATTTCTTTGTCCTTATATTCCATGGAGGGTCAGGGAGACGAATTTCCAAGTCTGGACAAGCGTGGCGTCCATAGAAACAGATGCCCTTTGACAGTAACAAACTAGGCACTAACAAACTCTTGCCACTGTCCATCTTTTTCCAATTATCCAACATCTCTCTCTTGTCGTCATCATAATCATTTCAATTTGGGACCCCCTCCAGAAAGGCCTCTCATGCTGTTTACATCATAACTTAAACCCGATCCTATGCATTGTTACTCGGAAGTAAGCCCCTCCGTGGTTATTTACTTATTTAAAGCATTTGTATGCAGCCCAATTTTGCCACAGCACCTCTGGGCGGCTCACAGTGAGACAAGAGTTCGGTGGGGCAAGTACAGCTCCCTTGACCCTTGTTTGCGTCGATCCGCCCCTGGTTTTCCTTCCTGTCTCCAGTCGCTCAGCCGCCGAATTCTGCCTCTAAAATTCTCTGAGGCTGCCGCGTTTCCCAACCAGCCGACAGGAGTCGCAGCGGCTTGCTTTTCTTTCGCTCCGGCTGCCGGGGAAGCGGCGGCGAGGAGGAGGAGGAGGAGGAGACTGCTGCGCGTCAGTGATGCGGCTGCGGGTGTCCAGCCCACCTCCTCGCTGCCCGCGGCGTTGGACGAGCAAGCAGCTCCGCACTAGCAGCAGCAAATTCGCCGCGGCTTAGTGGGAGAGCAGGCGGGCAGGAGGACCGACTCAGCCACCCGGCCGCTTCGCACTGACCGGCAAAGCCGGGATCGGGGCGTGGCTTAAGAGGCGCGGGGCGGAGCTTTCTCTTCGCCTGACAGCTGTCAAGACTCGCGGTGGAGTTAAAGGGGCGACGACCGAAGCGCCCCGCCTGCTCGCGGGCGCCCGTGCACCTTCCGGGGGCGGCAGCAGTTGCTGTCTCTTCGATTCAGACGCTGCTAACTGGAAACAACCGCACACAAAGAAGCCAGTGCAAGCACACTTAGGCAGCTGAAGAGGCGAGCCTCAGCCCATGTGTATCACGACCTCACCTGAGAAAAGATGCAATTGCATGTCAAAGGGATTTCCAGGTCATTAAGCGGAGCAGCTTCTTTTGGACGGAAACTAGAGCCGGTGATTTCAGTGGCATCCATTTACTTTCAAGTAACGCCAGTTCGGCGCAGAAACTAGGAAGCGATAAGCAGATTTCACCTCATCTTCACTTCTGGGCAGCCTGCTTTCCTCCGGTCTTGGCCGCGGAAGGGGGCGAGGAGAAGTAATAGTTCTTACTCAGGTTAACTGCAAAATAATTTCCCCCTCGATCAGGAACGTAGGCGCTAAAGAGAAGTGCATTAGTGTTGCATTTTCTCCTGTATTATCCCGGGAGGAGCCTGTTCTTTAATGGGATTTCCGAAGGTGGAAAGAAAGTGGCACACTTAACATGAAATACACCCCACTGAGTACAGGGAGATTGACTTCTGAATAAATACGACACAGAACTGTGTTGTAGGTGAGTAACCTGGAAAAGTCTGTGTCCCTGAGGTTTTTATAACCTGCTGATTCAGGAGCAGTAAAATGTACACCAATTGGTCTACACAGAAAGTGGCATGAGGACTCTTTAAGGCATTTCCATTTTACTGCTGCTTTCTCATTTCAACAGGAAATGGACACCTTCATGGTTGGCTTTATCCCTTCACATGTACAACACACACCATGACTTAGATCTTTATAAGGTACATGCAGGGATCAGCTGTAGAAGAGTTTGTGTGTGTGTGTCTT